CGCCTCGACGACGCCGAAGCCGCGGCCGAGCGCGACTCCCGCCGCAAAGACCGCCTCCACCGCCGCCGCCGCACCAGTTCCCTCAGCAGCGCCAGCGGCGACGACCGCTGGCGCCGCGCGGGCGATGGGCCCCGCCCAGGTGGGCCTAGACCGCCGCTTTCCGGCGGAGGAGGGTCGGTCGCGTTCGCGGAGCCGTCGAACAGCGGGGGGTATCCACTTCCGCCGCCGCCGCCAGGGCCGCCACCAGGAGGCCACAATACGGTTCCGATGGATCTGCCACCGCCGCCGAGGATTCCAGCGGCGGGAGGGGGAGGGAGTCCTGGGGATGGAACGGTGATGAGCGGGCCGTATGATACGGGGACGGATGTTAGTGCGTATGATAGTAATCGGAGGCGGAGGCGGGCGCAGAGAGCGCAGGCGAGTTTGGTGAGGGGTGGGGGGAGTCGGGTGGAGTTTAGTTAGGGGCGAGTGGGAAGGGGAAGGGTTGCATGGGTGGCTGGATGTCATCGACTATGGGTGGTTGATGGATGCATGCATGCGCGATGGGCGGCGTTCTTGGGTGGGTTAAATATGTATGAATGGATGATGGGCTTGCGGTGATCACCGCAACCTGATGTTGCAGAGCGTTGAGACTTGAGATCTTGTACGACTGACGATGCGAGAATCGTAAGACGCGCGCCCCTGCTTCGTGCTAGTTGATGTGATAGGGGCGAGGATATGGAATTGTGCAAACAGCTTGGTGGGTGGCTTGTACGAATTGATATGACGAGTGACGATCGGACCTCAACCCAATGTTTATTGAATAGCCACCTCATTTTGCGTGATGGCGACTGCGTCCATCTAGATTTGGTAATTCCATTCTTGTATCGTTACTTCATCGCCCTCCATTGGTCCCTTCATTCGAGACTCCACTACCTTCATGATTCAATGCATTTCAGCCAGCATTAACGTCTTGCGGTTTCCCCCTCCTGGTTGAGAATGCCGCAGATGGGTGCAACCATCAGGGGGGCGGTTCTGCAATCTGGACCAGTCTATGGATGCATATTGACACACAGAGACATCTATCGAGATGCAGACTGCATGGAGATGCAAATAGCCGTGAATCATGCTCAATGTGTCTGCAGTCATGCACGGAGTTGGTGGCCAATCTTGCTTCACGTGTTTCACGCCGCTGCTCTGTCATCTTTCTCACCACCGCCACCACCACCTCCCAAAGATGACAGAACCATTAGATCCCAACCGCCATTATTCGCCCATCGACGAACTGAGATCACCAAAGTGCACCTTCGCCTTCGCAAGGTCAACTATTGATCCCGTTTCCTCCCCTCGAACTCCCTGCTAATCAACCAATTAGCATTGGTTCCCCCGACTGACCCTCCCCGATATCCAGGGAAAAGGCAATCCGGAATGCCCCCCCCGCCGTACCAGAAATCACGCCAAACCACCAACGCCCACGGCTCCGGGTTCGGCGACGGGTGGTGTGGAGAAGCGCAACACCGCAATCCACCATCGTGATTGGCGGCGCAGCCATGCGGATCATCCACGACGGCGATCGATCGTTCCGCCTCGCCTGGGTGCCAATCACCCTCGCCAAACCTGCGAGCCACCCCTCAGGTTCATCGACGGTCGAGCGCACGCACGCATCCATCATGACTCTCATCGGCCATCCCATTTGATATTTCGCAACGCCCAGTGGCTCAGAGCTGGCAGGTCGATCGCCTGGTTTCGTGATTCTTGACCACTCGGGAGTTGGGACCGGGCTTGGGGCAATGCTGGCCCTTGCATGGCTCGACTGGCGCCGTCGTGGATCTCAACCGCCAATCTGCATCACGAGAGGGTCAGTGGACTGTTTATCATTTACATGTGTTCGCGGGTATCCACTCAATCGACAATAATGTCGCTAGGTGGATGCGGTGGAGGAGGGACGCCACCGGTCTCGTCACTTCTTTTTCGATGTTCAAGCTGTTGCTGGAAAGCGAAGGTCCAAGTTGGGTGAGGGTGTGGGAGCGAGCGATCCAATTATCGAGCTTATCGAGCCATTCTTCTATCTCTTTCATTTCGAGGACCGAGAGCTACGTACTGACGGCAGCTATCGTGGTCGACTAGCCCCGTATTATTACTCTAATTTGGACCGCATTCTTGAGCAGCTGTCAAGACTCGGCGGAGGACACCCCAAGGCCGGTCGGTACCATACCGAAGCTAGGGACACATACAATCATCTCCTATTTTGTCACCATCCCTTGTTCCCTAGTGTCGTCTACCAGAACAGTGACATCTCTTTACTCGAAACCCTGAGTCTTAAATATGCCCAAAGCCTATTATTTCCAAAGAAGGCATCCCCAAACGAGAACTGCATCGTGAAGATTCACACTCGGAGGTCTCCTATGCAGGCTGATTGGCCTCACCCATCCATCCCCAGCTCGACGGGGAACCAGCTCCTCCCCAAGAAGGGCAGCTAGACCTGAGTTTGGGACCTATCCCACACCGTCCAGGACGGGGAACGTTGGATGTGCCTGCGTTCGGACTACGGCGGTTTGGCCCTCTTCGTCTCCCAACCGCACAATGACCATCCATCCCCGACCTCGCCGGATATCGAACTGTGTCGATTTCCCTCTCCAGGTCTCCCATGTGCATGACCTGCTGCTGGCGTAAGTCTGCTTTACCACAGCAGCAGGTCGATGATCGGAACCTCAGTTTAACGGGGCGCTCACATTCATTTTGGCCCATGGTGACCCGGTGATACTTCACCATGTGTTTTATGTCTGTCCGACCCTACTCTGTTGCTCTCGAGGGCTCGGTGCTATTTCGCCGAGCGTCTGATCAGACTATTTGGAAGTGATGTCGGGCCCCCCTGTGCCGCCCTCTACCACTTCATCTGGCCCCTCCGTTGTCAAACGCGCTTGTGATAGGTACGACACTTCTCCACAAGTCTACATTCTCTTCTCAACAGGATGAAGATACTCACCCCTTTATCGCAAATAGCTGTCATCGACGTAAAGTCAAATGTATTGGCGAAGGAACCAATCCGTGCAAGAACTGCGTCTCCGCCGGGCTCGCCTGTACATACAATGCCATCCCTCAGAAGAAGGGCCCTAAGGGCAGTCGATCCAAAGTGCTTTCTGAGCTGCGAGAGACGCAGAAGCAATCGCCATATGCCCCTTCAGGATCCGTCTACGATCAGTCGTCCATCCGGTCACGATCCCATTCTCCCCACCTAGGACGATCGGGATTGTTGACGCCGGAGCTGGTCAACTTCTGCGCGGAGTACTTCTTCGCAAATCTCTATTCCACTCACCCAGTCCTCGATCGCCAGCAACTCCAAGAGGTGGTGTTGCTCCTCGATACCTCCGTGGAGGCATACAGTACCGTCACGGCGCTATGTGCGTACATGGCGTTGCAGCCGGGAATTGCCCTGCCGCCGGGGCTGGGACTCCGTCCGGATCTGGCGCTGGTCACTCCTTTCCAGCTGGGCAATCTGCTGCTCGAAGAGGCGGTGCGGGCGAACAAGTTGCATGAGGATATGGAAAACGTGGCCATTCAGAGGATCGTGGTGGCGTACTTAATTTTCGGGTGCTACCACTGTTTAGACAGGCAGAACACGGCGTGGGTGTATCTTCGTCTCGCGACCACGCTTGCCTACATCATGGGCTTACACAGTGGAGAGACGTACAACGTTAACAATCCAGGAGAATCGGCGAAACGAAGGAAACTGTTCTGGTTGCTGTTTGTGACGGAGAGGTACAGTACCACCGTACTGGATTGTCGACCCCAGACTAATATGGCGAAGGGCATTTGCACTAAAACACCACCGGCCGATCACTCTCCACGCCACGATCCCCGTCCCATCAGTGAACGACGACCCCTCCGAACTGCACGATATGGCCGGTTTCATCCACCTCATCAACCTCTTCAAGCCCTTCAACGAGACGTTCTTCGGCCTCTGGAACCGAACGCAGACCGGCGCCGTCCCCGCGTGGCTACATCAGCTCCAACTGCAGCTGTCGGAGGCCCTCCCGAGCTACCTCGACACCACGGAGATCCAGGCGGTGGACCTGCGCGTGTCGCAGCTATGGTTGCGGACCATGGTCTGGCAGTTGGCCGTGAGCCACGGCTTCGTCTCCTCCGTCGCCTCGGACAGCACCCTCCAATTCCGTTATCCGATCGAGATCTCCCGGGAGTTGACCGAAGCGACCACGGAGTTCTCCAGACATGCGATCGAGACGCATGGAATCGGGCTGGTTGGTCAAATTCATTCCGTAGCATTGGACACCGCTAACCCAAGGTCCAGGTGGAAAAGCTCTTCGACATTGCCTGCACCCTCACCGACATCCTCGCCTTCGCCTCCCCCGCCCAACAACAGAGTACCGCCTACGGCCTCGACACCAACTCCGGCCGTACCTACCTCTCCTACATGGTTTCGCTCATCACCTCCCTCCGCGCCGCTCAACCGCGCCACCACTCCCTCCTCGGCAAACTACAAGTCAACCAACCGCAAGTCAACCAACCGCAGGTCAATCAACCCCGTGCCAATCAACCCCACGCCAACCCTCCCCTCCCCCATTCCTACACCCCCCTCCCGCACCACCCCTCTGCCATCTCCACCCCCGCCGAAATGGCCTCCTACACGACCTCCCGCTCCAGCTCCACCAGCCACGACGCCAGTCCGTTCGCCAGCACCGCCAACGTGCCGGGGATGATGATGCGGCAGCCCGGGGGTACGGGCGGAATGATGTCAATGCATCACCATCAGCAGCAGCAGCAACAACAACAACAACAACAACAACAACAACAACAACAACAACAACAACAACAACAACAACAACAACAACAACAACAACAACAACATGTGCCGCAGCAGCAGGGGCATAATCTGCCGTTTGCGGAGATTGAGGAGGGGGTTGAGGGGATGGAAGGGGAGGGGGTGGGGTATTCGGGGTTTGGGGCGGGGCATGGGGATATGTATTAGATGCGGTGATACGGGATGGAAATCCAGGGGTTAATTACGTGAGCCACGGAAGCTGATGAAGAGATGGTGGGAGAGATGGTGGGACGGTGGCTCATTTCGTTTTCAAGCGGGCGTTGAGTTTTGCAGCATCGGCGGAGACGTAATAGGGTGGTGGCGTAACGCATATCCGCAGAGTACGATGTTACTGTCGTTTCTTTAGGGGTAGAAGGGAGTGGCTGGGTATCGCACGGTTGGTGGTCTACATTGTCCTGGAATCCCGCTCAAAGTCCTATTTATGTCGTTGTGGGCGGCAGCGAAAGCGTCGGGTGCAAAAGCAAACTGACTGTACTACACGACGTGGTAGACTCATCTGCATCGGCGGTAACCCAAAGGAACTATTTTTCTGCATGAACATGGTCCAGGTCTATTAGTATCAACAGAGTATATCTTGGCATAGGTATATATAGCAATCTAACGCACTGAAATCAGTCATTTGCTCGCTTGAGCCACCCGCCCACATACATGTTCTCAAAGCACCCCCATCCCGCCCTCATCTGAGAATTGTCGTTGGTCACTGATATCCCCGCGGGCCGCGCATGGAGGGATTGAAATACGTGACTTATATACCGTAGATCTGGGACTGGATTTCGGGTGCATTTGAAGATGACCCTGAGGCTCAGCGCCACTGAGAGACCGAATGAACAATGAGGGAAGGGGTTCACTCAGTTCAGAGACCAGAGCCCGCTTCCCTGGTTAAGTAAGCAGCTCTATTTGGTATGTGATCTACTGCAGCAATTGGCATCTATGGACGATCAGCTCACTTGCGAGCTGTATGCATGATGCAAACCTACTGATGCGGGATTTATCCATCCTTTACTGTCCTGGCTGTAATTGGTACTTGATACCTGGAGCTAGCGATGCTGTGCTTCGGGACGATCACGATGCTACAATGGTAACCGAGACGAAGTGCACTGTCACATCTAGCCGCGTCGATCCTTGGATAGACGAGTTGACGAGGAGCTGCAGGGGTCGATGCCTCGTAAGTCGTAAATGGCTATGAGTCGGTCAACGTGGACCTTAAGGGTCTAGAACGCGGCATGTGGACGAATGGATAGTGACGGGTGGTGATTCGCTATTGGGATGGAGAAAGAGGCCAATGAGAACGGAGAGAATATAGTCCATGGGAAAATGTGGGAGGATTGACAACGGTATTGCCGGCTGATGAATTTGCTTGAATGTTCTGCAATCGGGATTTGATATCAAAATGCGGAATAATCAATGGAAGGCATGAAGTGTGGTTCCCATGACCGGGCGATCAGGCGACAAGGCAAGGTTTCAGCCACATCTCCTTCACGGAATCGCTCCTTCCTTGCGCGGCAACCAATCTGGCGGGATTTCGGTGCCTTCCATACCTGATGAACGCCACAATCCCTGTCCTAGGGCTGCACCTCCTTTCCGCACCAAATCAATCTCATCCATCAGCCGCCTCTCAGCCGACCACCGACATCTCCCCCCATTAAATCCATCGTCGCACAAAGGTGCCATCCGTATTGTGCTCGTGTTCAACGGGCTTTGGCCCGTTATATTTCATGTAGACATCCGCCCACACCGGTTCGATTTGAGGCCATGTGGCATGCTGTCATGCCGAGCCGCTGGGGGTGCTCACTGTACGTCACCCCCTTCACCAGATCGCACGTATCGGAGATCCTCAAGGAAAATATATGTCGATGGGGGGAATTCGTTTGAAATGGAACGAAGCCAATGAGGTTGGCAATCTTGCTCACTATTGAATTCGGCATACCGTCTGCGATCGTGGTGTTGGGATCACTGATCGAGATGGCGGTATGCATCACTACTCGGGTGGATGCATGGTGGTAAATCACGGCGGGGCGGATCGACTGTGCGTGGTCATAAGAACATCGTCGTCCGCTCATGATTTAGTGAAACTTGAGATGAAGTCGTACGGTGTCCTGCGTTGGTCCCTCTTCTCCTTTTCTTCCGGTGTCCTCGCATCTCCACCCTCCACATTCCTTGGACGACTGACCTCTCGCACTCCGTCGTGTCACAGCATAAGTTTGCAGAAATCCTAACTGTTAAACCACAAGGCACCCATAAACTGGGCTAGCTCGTTGTCGAGATGACACTCCTGACTTCACTACCGCCGGAGGTGCTCCTCGACATCCTCGCCTACTTACCCCTTCGTTCGCTCCTTTCTTTCGGCCAGGCAAGCAAAATCTCGCACCAGTTGGCCAGCTGTGCGATGCACAGGCTCTCCCTTGGAATCTTTCCCACTCGACTCTCCGGTATACTCTCCAGGCTCTCCGGCGTGAGCACACTGGACCTGTATTCTCCCTCCCATCTCGAAGACGTGCAGGACGACACGCGGATTGCTTCGATCGTGATTCCCGACGCTGCGACGCTCAACTCGTATAGTCTGCTGGCTTTCCACAATGCTCTCATCAGCGCCGTCCTATCGAGATATGCGTATTCGCTGCGTGATCTCGATCTCACGATATGGATGCTGACTCCGCCGATTGCGAAGGCGCTCGGTTCCGCACGAGGACTGAAACGACTGCGACTGAGGGTTGAGAATCCTTTCAAACTGCGAGGAGGACTGCGAGCTGGTGACCGGGATGTCCAACGACGACTTCCCCCCGAAAAGGGAGGCTTATGGGACACCTTCCCGGGGTCTTGGCACAAGCTTGAAGGGCTGATGATTGATGGTTCGATCATAGGTTTAGATACCCTTCAAGGGATTCTGAAAGGTTGTGGCTGTTTGAAAGAGCTGTGGCTTAAGAATTGTCCCAATATTAGCGGAAAGCTCGTCGAGTTTCTTGCTAATGATTGGAATGGTGCATATGCGCTGGAAGGGCTGGGTTTGGCCAACTGCGGGATTGTCCACGACGATGATCTAGAGCCGATCATCCACCTGACGCGTCTTAAGGTGAGTAAATATCCGCTGCTGAGCACCATGGCTATTTATGTATAGAAGCCTGGGATAACAAGTAGCAGCTCCTATCACTGTACGACTGTCGGGGACTGGACAACGATAATGTCAACAAAATAAACAAAGGTACCTGGAAGATTCGACACCTGATCCTATCTGACAGTATGGATCTGCCTTCGGAGCATCATATCATCGAAGTCGACCCTGCCTACATGAGTAGTGAAGCGAACATTGAGAGTTCGTCTGAAGAGTCGGATTAAGAAAGTTGACCGCACGAATTGCTTGACTTTTTGGTTCTTGTATACCATAGGTTTGGACCTGTAGTGGAGTTCATTCAATTTCAGCGCTGGTAGTAAGTAGTATATCTGATGTTATCTTCGTTTTTCAGAATACCTTATCAGTTGAACGAATTGACGGCCACTTGCAGATGACAAGCCCCTCATCATAACGTGCTTGGAGATGTAGTGTATCTTACGAATGAAAATGTGGCCTCGAAAACCGTGGTGGTCTCACTTCAGGTGAATATCAATCAGCTCAAGCAGAGACAGCCTCTGCCCGGAAACCGTTCGTCTGCTCAGTCTTGCTAAACTTCTACTCTTCACTTCTCTCTTATCATCGCACAACTCAAACACACTCTAATAAAAACTTTCAAACTTCCTTCTCACTCATTACTTCCAAATATCTTTCTCCTCGTTCCTCTGCGATGTCACCCACTCAATTGGTTCACTTCTGACTTCCACGATCAATTGGGCGCATTTTTAAACCCCCCCTTTCACTTCGATCTGTGGTTGAAGGCAGGTTCCATTATCAACTACATAATCTTCCTTCTGTGTTCAGACAGCGCTTCGGAGCGTGTTACCTAGACTGCGTCTAGTGTTATATCATCCGTTTCTCTGATATCAGCTTCTCTTTCGGTTAGTCAATGGCACAGTTCCACCTTGTTGTCTAAGTCTCATCATAGTCCGAGGCATTCTAACGCATATCTCCTCTAGGACAAGTTTAACGTCGCATATTTCCATTGCATGCACTAGCCCCCGGTTGCCAACACTGGTTTCAGCATCCAATCGACCCCGTGCTTCAAGGTATATGGATCTGCCCTTTTGAGACATGGCAGTCTGCTCCACCGAGACGCAGAAGAGGCCGCGAAAGAGGGTCAAGAAGGGAACTCGAGAGTTCCAGGCGTACTGTGCCTATCTCGCTATCACCCCCTGGCATAAGCTCTTCACCCCCGATATCATCGCGAACTTCCCTGTCCTCTGTAAACGCAAGGATGTCAACTGCTCTGGGATATTGCGAGATCCGGCGTTGACGACGACGTTCATCTTTCGTTTTGCAGTTGATCTGTACAATCACGTTCAGCGCACCCCCTTCTATGCTAACAAGGTCAGTCTATCCAGTCCATCTCATCCCATCACCTTTCGCTGATTTGTAAACAGTGTGGAGACCGCAGCGATGACCTCGCCTGGTTCATCAACCGCGTCAACCTCGATCAACCCGCCATCCCCGCGTGGGCGATCCAGAAAGACCCCACTCGCCGCACCGCGCGCACGGAAGCATGGATGAACAAACTCCGCGCCAGCATCCCCGCTACAAGTCCATACCCCGCCGACCTCCGCCTCGCCGACCTCCACGAGTTCGAAGACACTTGGTACTGCGCCATCACCATCATGCAAGACCTCTACGAAGACGTGCGCGTGCGGATGAACTCCGGGTTCATCAAGTGGGACGAGATCGTCCATTCCTTCGGCAAGATGGGGTCCTCACCCAACGAGCCGTGCCACGTCTACGACCTGCTCGAGTTCTGCTGGATGATGTGGTTCTACAACAACGAATCGGATTTCGTATTCACACTCAATGAGGCGGTCAAGCATCGCAATAAGCGCGATCTGGGCGTCGCGTCGGGTCTCATAGATGTCAATCGCCAGCCGTCGTCGATTACGTTCGATATGCTGTATCGGAAACACAAGCTTGATCGGTATGCGGAAAGTGAGAGGGATGAGGATCGCACGCTGGGAGAGATCAGGGTCGCGTTGGATGAGGAGTTGTGGATTCGGAGGATGTACGGGCACGAAGCTGAGCAACGCTATCCCCTGAATACCGTCAACACTCCGAAATCCGCTGGCGTCAACACTGAAGCGACTGGAACTCCGCGAAGTGCTACGGCACCGGATCTTCGAACGGCCAATGCATCGAATGATAGCAAGCACACTGTGGTCAACAAAGACGCTGCAGAGCCGACAGCTCCTCGACGCAGCGCTACGACATCCCAACTCTCACCCCAACGTCGACGAAACGGAGCCAATGGTGCAACACCTCAACGCACTCAAGAAGACCCCATCGCGGCCGACCCAATGGAAATCGACCCCATCGAGACGAAAGCCGCAACCACCCAAATCCCCGCCAAACCCGCCCTCAACCTCAACAAACCCCTCCCCGCCATCCCTTCTCCCAAACCCAAACCCTCCCGCATCTTCAAATCCGCCACCAAAGCCTTCAAACTCCGCGGCAACCCCCTGAAGATCTTCACCAGCCACCCGAAACCCGCCCTCTCCTCCCCTCTTTCCTCCCCCACCGACTCCATCCCCCTGACCCCCACCACCGCCTCCTCGTCTGCCACCGCCTCCACCATCTCCACCACGCCCAACACCTCCCCCGCGGCGTTCGACATTGCCGCGCTACCCGCAACCAAGCCGTGCATCCGCCAGTCGTGCTATCCGACCTCGCCGCTGTCGCCGGTGCAGGAGATGGTGAGGGAGGAGGCGGAGGGGGAGGAAGGGATAGAGCCAGATGAGGTGCGGAGGGAACGGGAGATGAGGGAGGATTATGTATTGCCGAGGACGGTGTATGTGCCGCCGGAGGGGTGGAAAAAGGAGTGGAATTGGTAGAGAGGTGCGGGTGGTGACGTTTTGCGTTGGGAGGAGGGCAGGATGCTGATTACGGGGACGGGAGGTTGAGAAATGTCACGGGTGGCTAATTGAGGGGATGTGAAGTTGGTGCTTGGACGGATTGAATGGTTGTTCAAGAGTGGATGGCTTGGCTTGGCTTGGCTTGGCTTGTAGCAATGGGGCTGATTAAGCGCATCACGATTGGCAAGCTCCTTTTGAGCATGCTGATAGTTTTGAAGCGCGTGTAGACTCGCTCCGTAGGGTAGCCTTCACAAATACAATTCCCATACTCCCTGCGCTTGAAGTTCTTCCAATTTTTACCTTCCAATTTTTTCCTTCCAGCCATGACGAGCGCCTATCCCTTCGTAATCATGATCCTGTCGCCAATTATCCGTCGCCAATTATTCCATAGTACATATAGTTTATATCCTCCCCTCCCTAATCTCACATCCCCACTGCCATCCCCACCGCACCGGCCAACCCCACCATCACCCACATCACCCCTATCCTCCCCCCACCCCCCTGCAACTGTGGATCCCCCTCCCGCCCCCCCACGGCCCCCGTCCCCGTCGGCCTCATCGCCTCCCCCCCCACCACCGTATAGCTCGTCACCACCTCCACGCGCCCGTCCGGCATCGTGCTAGTGCTCAACACGACGCTACTCACCACGCTAGCCCCTAATGAACTACCGGGGCGGGTGGTCGTGGTGAGTCGCGATGGCGGGGCGGTAGTGGTGCCCTGATCAATGGAGGGGTCGGTGATGGTGGAGATGGGTGGGGATGGGCCGGTGCTGGAGGGGTTATTGGCGGAGGAGGGGGTAGGGAGGTCGATGGAGGGGTCGTTGACGGGAGGGTTGGTGGGTGGAGTGTCGGTGGATGAGGGAGGGGAGAGGGAGGATTCGATGTGCGCGGTGCTGGTGGCCGATGGGGGAGTCGTCTCCTGAGGTGGGGAAGAAGTGTCGGAAGGGGTGGTTTCTTCCGGGGGGGTGGTGGAGTTGGGGGTTTGGCGGCGGAGGAGGTCGAGGTGGGCGGCTGAGAGGAGGCGGGAGGCGAGGGGTGGGTCGGTGTTGTGGATGGCTTCGATTGCGTTGGTGTCGGTTTCGAAGATGCCGTCTTGGAACTTGGATTCTAGGTGGTCGTGGAGGATGATGTGGAGGGTTTTGCCGAGGAGAGACTCCAATAGAGGTTGGATGCTACTGCCACCCGGTTGGAGTTCTGGGTTGGTCGGTTCGGGTTGAGTCTGCGATGATGCGCATCCTGCAAGAGCGAGAGACAGAAATAGAGTGTTTTTCAAGAATGCCATCTTCAACCAACGATGTCCCAATCTCCGTGGACGACCACCGCGCTCGCTGTCAAGGAAATAATCTTTTGCTCTCCTGGGTTTGGGATGAACGAATGTTATAAATTCAGACGCCTGAAGTAAAAACCGTTAGTCAATTATACCGCAAATCGTGAAACAATCGTCAATTAAAGCAGAGGGTTTGAAAGAACGGACAAACGGTGCTGACGGAGATATATTATAATGGTGGACGGTGGTACACCTCCGGTGGCTGGACGTACGGATCGACCGCCAGCAATCCCAGCGCACCCGAATCTGCAGCTAGCAGAACCGAATTCCCAGCGTAATATTCGAAACGTAGCGGAGACTCACCTTAATTGGCAGAAACGCAAACCAGCTAAATAATTCAGAGATAAGGATTAGTGCATCTTAGCAACATAGCGCAAGCAGTCAACGATTGTGAAGTCGAACCACGTGTAGAATCGACACACATCACGAGAGAAGAGCGACGAGGAGGCAATTAATAGTTCCATCGAAAGCATGCTGAAAAGTCCACTCAACCCAACGACATCACGTCATCATGCTTTTCGCTGCTGTGTCATCAGTCATGGTACAAGCTTGAACCGAGTTTGGACAAAATCCACGAACTGCATGTTTCAACTCCCGCTAAACTTCTGGAACTTCGGATCGCTGGACATATCGCCGCTTGGCCGGCATAAATGTCCAGCACTAACCCGACCGGTCCAGCGATGCTCCGCTAGCATTCAGCTGGTGAACCAGGATTTGCGGGCTTTGTGTTCGCTTCAGAGCTCCAAGTTCAGTGAGTTGAGAGTTCTGACGCTAGTGCGGCGACATCTAGATTCCCTCAACAACGCGTCCGGTTCTCGTGGTGATCCCAGCGTCGATGGAACTTGATTCGAATTCTAACTTTCTGAGCCTGTTGAGCTTCCATGCTTTGGAAATTCGGATGTATAGCGGCCTGATTGTGCTTTATATTCAAGGCCGACAGCAGCTTTCGTTTTATAGTTTCGGCGGCTGTCCAAACGGAATAATCGCCCTTCCTCTTTGCTTTCCGGCGCTCGCGTCTCTCGTCGTCTTCCGTATTCGTGCCAGAAAACTAAAGAATGCCAAATACGCCTAACTAAGGGCGGTCACTTTTGATCTATTTGTGTTTCTGCTTCACAGCCCTGTGGGCGGGCTAGCTGAATAGACCGGAGCTTGGGCCTAGGGACAGCAGTTATTGGCGCCACGGCTATTGCTGTGCAACAAACCACGGGCAACGTCAACGTCAGCCAATATTCCGCAAGCCGCGAGAATTGGGTATTGTTTTTGCATAGAGGTATACGTAATGTCCAGGGTCTCTCCGGGTGCATTTCCGGGATTCGTTAACTGTTGAAGTCGACGGTTGTTCTCTCCTACCTAACAGTGGACAGTACGGTGTACCGCTGACGAATCCGAGGCAAGGCTCCCCCAATTGGATCGGTATGGGATCGACCGGCTTCTATTTCAAGATGAAAAGATTCCCACTGCGGCTGGCATGCTGGTTTCGATCTTCACGGTTCAACATCCGAATTGATGCTATGATCTACCTCATTAACCTCAACGTTCCGGTTCTAATGTGCTTATGCAGTTATGCTGCAGCAGTGCGGAGCAATCATACCTGGCGCCTTCTGTTCTGCTTTCAGCGTGTAGTTGTGAGTGGCGCCAAACGTGGCTCGGATATCAATCTTCATCCAGTCAGTCCCTAGCATTTGGTTCGATTTGATTTTGAAAGTTTTGGTCCGTGAGGATGCCTTCCCTTGCTACCATGACCTTGCTTCTTTGATATTTCAATCGATAGTGCTCTTTGAAATAAGTAGCACTAGAACAATGACAACTTGGACCGATGTCTGGCCAAATGATCAATGCTTGCTGTGGTTTGGGCTTTTTGCTGCGAGATATTAGTCGACACCATTGTGAGCATGCTCAGCCTTTGAGTCCTTTCCCCAAAGCTCTTGCCAATCAGTTTCTTCAGGTTTCTTTTGAAACTCGTTACAGCAATCGCTACAGCATCCCTCAAATGCTCACTTAGGACCGTTGTTATGTTCAGATGCACCTCTTAGAAACCGGGACTGACTGACAATCTAAACCATGAATATCTGGGAAGCATAGAATCAGTCCTTAGCCGGTGCTCAAATGGGATACCTATGAGGTCCATAAGGATATCATTAGCATAATTGCCGCAGAATGAGCATGGATTGTCTACTGGAGTTATATCAGTTCCGATAGTTGTCAGTATAACCAGTCCCTAAATAACCATTACGGCCCTCCGCTTCCTGACTAAATGAAACGCAGTAGGGATTCAGACATATCTTGCCGTATTTCGAACTTCATGTACCTCCCAAGAACTAGATCTCCCTCTAGGACCATTTTGATCGGAGATGAACGGGCCTGGAGGCGACAGTACGGTAGGCCCAAGGCCAGGAGGACGAAGTATCATGGACTCTCCTGCTGCTTCATGGCCATAGATGATGATATCCAATTCCATACTCACGTGCCTTCAGCATGAATTCATTGCATGTGCTCGGGAGTAACCGATACCGTTCAGTTCACTCGACACGTGGATAGCTGCATTCCGTTTGTTTGTCATTTTCTCTTGCCGGTAAATTAGGTGATATCATTATCACTAAGATGCAGCAGCGCCATCACTGATCGTGTGATTCTTCATAAAAGGTCACGCACTCACCTTGAATGTCAACTTCTTTCTTTTTCTTCTGCCAGTGTTTATTTATCTCTCTTCCTCACGTACTTCGCACTTCGCACTCGGTTAGCATATTCCGAGTGTACTCCCTCGTTTAACTCTTTCAACCAGAGTTTAGTTATCAAAATTATCCACTCTGCTCTCACTCCTTTCACTGGTAACTTCCCAACTCACCTTCTGCATGAAGTCGCTCAATGCCCTCCTGGGTCTCTTGGCCCTCAGAGCTACCCTCGCGGAGGCACTTCCGAAAGATCCAGCGTCCAATGCAATCACTGTCGTTGAACATGATGCCATGCTTCAAAATGCCTACTCGGTCGACCGCCATCTCAGCCCCGGGCCCTCGGTGAGCTGCAGCAGTGGCTATACCTTCCCCGAAATCCTCCGCACCCCATTCAAGGAGGCATTCTGTGACCGCATGTCCAACCAACAAGGATATCAGGGTGAGGGCGATAACACGAAATCATGGCTCTCGGTCCTGCATATCCCCGAGACGGGCGATCACACCGATGCCTCGTTCATCGTTGTCGCGCTAGTGGACCGACCTGGCGCCACCTTCGACTTCTCCACCTGCATGGCCGCTTTCGAACACTTGATCTATAGTTGCCCGGCCACTGGGGGGAGATTCTATGGCGGAACTTATCTCGACAATAGCTTTGCCTGGATGATCAGTGTCCAGTCATACGCATCGTCACTTACGCCGGATGAGGGAAAGGTGGAGGTAGAGCTACCTAGCACCACCATCAGTCCTCGCGGTCAAGTTGAGCTGTCATCAGATGATCCACACATTGTCGGTAACTTGCCTCTCACCCCCGACGATTTTGACATATCACGTTACGGCCTAGACGTTTTCAAGTGCGACCCACCGACAAGCCGAGCCCTTCAGCGAACAGAGGCCTACAAATATGCATTCGAGTTCTGCAATTCCACGGCATTGACCAAGGCTTACTCTGTCATCGATGGGCGCCAGTACTGGGCTTGGCAAACAGAACAAGAGAGCGCTTCTGACGACAGCTATTTGGTCTATTTCCTCGCATCGGGACCAGTGAACCACACGGTTGGGTATCACATCGACGAATGCCACGTTGCCGTGTATTCTCTGTTCCAGAAGTGTGGAGATTCGCATCGACCGACGTACTACCCTGGAACGTTTGCCGATGACTTCGGCTTCATATGGTTCCTCCGAATAATCCAACGAAAGTCGGCTGCTCACAAGGTCTCGGCAAAGCAGGCGGAGGCAATCCTAGACGATACATTTGAGTCTGTCGAATTCGAAACCCATAAGCGTCTCGCATCAAAGGATATTGATGCTGGATCCACACCTGGTGAGAAGCGGACGTTGGATTCCTCCTCTACTGGCCTCGGACCTGGAATCATGACGAACACAGTCGACCTCAGCGATGTGGCACCCCCTTTATTTGCACATGACGCTTATATCCAAGCCATGGTTGTGGAAGCGAGCGAAGGATGGCTTTCGTGCCAACCCACTTCTTCCCCAGTCGCAGCGACCGCTTTCGTCGGCAGGATTATCACAGATTTCTGTACCGCCTCCACATCGTCATCTGGGGTCAAGGCAGGACCATCCACGTCATGGACCTCCTCGTTCCAACTTGTCGAGCGACATAAGGATATCCGTGTCGATATGAGCATCCAAACAGACTTTGACGACGGCAAATTCGACAGAGCCAAGTGTACCTCGACATACTGGAATAAAGTGATGGATGCATGCGCACAGAAGAACGGTGATAGCTGGCTGTATCATGGTGGCGCCTACTTCGATGGGGAATTCGAGTGGAGCTTCACGATGACGAATCTCAACCCCGGCGCCGCCAATGTCAAGAACCTCGAATCCAGAGCTGTAGACACTAACGAGGATGCAAAGATCGCTCCCCGCGACACGACCGCCACCCAGGGCATCATCCACTGCAATAACAACGATGATCAAGCCGTCAGCTCCGATGAAATGAGCGGCGCAGTCACCAACTTCTGCGAGCGGACCTCCGACACGAGGCTTTTTGGGATCGCATCGACGACGTACTCTTTCCCGAACTTCTCGGTCGAGCTGTCTTCTACGGTGCCTGCGACTGGAAACTGGTCGTATGATGTGACCAAGTGCACAGACAGCTTCTGGCAAATCCTTCATAGTTGTCAAGCTAGCAGTATCGATCCTATCAAGCATCACGGAGGATCGAATGACGAACTCAATCATATCTGGAAAGTCAGCATCCAAAAGAAGGCGACAGATGGTCAAGACGCCGTATCTCTTGCGGATCACGAAGATGTGGACGCGACCGCAGCTCAGAGGCGTATTGTATGCAAAGGTATCAACTCACCCGAAGAGATTACCAACTATTTGAACCCGGCCATCGGGGATTTCTGCAGATCCAAGGCTGGGGGGCAGAATCAAGGAAGATGGGTTGGGTGGTTCAAACCTGCAAATCAGAAGATTCGTCTCTCCGTCGAAGGCCCGGAAGTCGGGACTTTTACTCCGGGTGAATGCGAGGAGGGGTTTTTCACCGTGAGGGATGCCTGTCATGGGACGGTAGGACCAGGATGGTCGAAAGGCGGAGTTAACTTTGACGGAGACTGGCACTGGTACACCGATATCTGGGACTCCTGGGGAGACATGAAGTCATGAAGCATCGTTGAAAGGGTTGACGTGGCGACTTCTCGGGAGGCAGCAGCAAGCAAGCAAGCAACGATGGGGCGGATGTAGGAGATGATAATGGAATGGCATAACGGACCGACTGTTTTCATGATTCATAGGAAGAGGTAGATTCAGTTCGAAAGTAGAACAATCAAATGCTCCATTCATTCAACCTCCATCTTCTCTGACCAACATGAACTCGCCCTTAACTTCGACAATCCCATAGAACTCCATCCATAATGCACCACCCCACACCTACCACCTACGCCTTCCCCTCCCCCGCCCCCTTCTCCTCCCCTTCCGCCAACTTCAACGCCAACTCCCCCGCCGTCGGCGTCCCCGGTATATCCACCAACACCGCCGGATCCTTCTTCCGCTGCTCCAGCAACTGCGCCCACTTCTCCCGCCCCGACCCCTCCGTCATCTCCTCGAAGCCTGTGCCATGGGTGTCCGGGCGTCCGCCGGGCGCGCCGGCGGCCGCGTCGCTACCTGCTTGAGATACGGCGGCGTTTCTGCCCACGGGGGATATGGGTGTGCTGTCGAGCTCGGCGGGTTCGGGATTGATGGGGGGTTGGGAGGTGTGGATGGGGTTGGAGGAGGTGGAGGTGGTGGGGTTGTGGGAGGTGGAGGTGGAGGGGGAGATGGGGGTGGATGAGAGGGGTGGGTTGGTGGCGGCGGAGGTCATTCCGGGAACGGGCTTGGATGGTGGGACGGAATATGGCGGCTCCGCGGGATGGGGATGCACCGGTTAAGATTTGGGCCGGGTGGGAACCGTCTCTTATCTCTAATCTTTGCTGGTTTCTGGGATATTGGATGATGTCGGAGTTCGGAGGGTTGAGTTATGTGGTGGTGGGGCCTAATGGAGGCTTGAGGTTCTGGAGACACCGGAATGATATACCGGTGCACGTGATGCGATATCGTCCGGTACGTACCTCGACTTCCTTTCTGGTTCACATGAGATTCTCATTCTCATTCCCCAGCGTCTGTAGGCCGAAAACTACCATTTCCGAAAGCTGATCGAGGCTATGCATGATCAGTGTGCCATTCCCGAGATTTCAACGCTTGTTTCAACGTCATGGCGAAGGATTGGCGCTGACTGGCGATCATTCGGATTGCGACAGAAGTCCTCATAAGTCGCCTCAGACCAAAGTCAACAGAACGGTTATCAGCGATTCCTCGCCAATGGTAGGGACTGGGGAAGCCTAAAGTCGCCTCTCGTACGGAGTATCACAGGACCCAGCCTGGCCCGGATGCATATCAATCGAAAATTCGAAATGAGGGATCCTGGCCTGGGTGTTTCCACGGATCGACTACCGTAGCGTATCCCTATCCTCGGCGTGTCGCAACTGCAGCCCATCATCGACCTACGGGACGGGGGCTTCCCGGATCCGAGACCAGCATCCCGCAATACCGCCTAACAGGTATCCTGCAATAAGGTAATGACCCAAATGGCTTGTGACCATAACCCATGAGCCGTTATTACTACCGTCATTCATTTCTTTTTCGTTTAACCGAGTCTTCTTATATATCTAGTCCTTGTCTGTTCAGAAATCCCTTAGATGTGCATAAGTTCTAGAAATTAAGTCCGTTGGGGAATACTTGACTGATGCCATCTGCTTGAGAAGATTCACCGGTTTTGACTTCCCTTTTATCAAATATGTTGTCGGAGTTAGTCGCCGCCAAGTTGACTTGGCTGGCGGTGGTCACTGGCAAGGCGGTCTTATGGATCGCTGTGATTTATCCCTCACTATTCCTGGTTGGACCTATTATCGCAGGTACATCTTGAAGGTTACCAAGCGCCCTATGACATGCTAATTTGATATAGCGTCCGTTATGCGAATATCCTACCTTGTTCGTGGTATTCCGCCTGGTGGCACGCCTCTTGCAGGCAAGAAAGAGATCACTTCGTTTATCTCCGAAGATGATGCGGCTGAGATGAAGAGGAGAAACATCGACCCGGATCTCCCGATCCTCAAGCGCATCGCCGCAGAGTCTGTCACATACACCGGTGGACTCCCTGCCGTACTGCTCCAGATCGCCCAGGAAGGGGTTGGAAAAGGCGTGGGTCGCCACAGCAACTTCTCGACCCGTCTCCTCGAACGCACGCAGAACACGGCCATCTTCATCTACGTCATGGTCTTCGGCAACAATACCGAGCGACAGATGTTCCGCACCTTCGTAACCATGGCCCACAAGAAGATCAACGACAAACGTACGAAGAATACCTACGATGCGATGGATCCCAGACTGCAGCTGTGGGTCGCCGCCACCATGTACGCCACCATGCTAGACAGCTACGAGAAAGTATTCGGCCGCCTTCCAGAACACGAGCAAGAGCAAGCCTTCCAGGAATTCTCCATCTTCGGCACCTCCCTGCAGGTGCCCCTGACCATGTGGCCGCAAGACCGCGCGGCCTTCCAAGCCTACTGGGACGACATGGTCGCGAACCTCCACGTCCCCGCCGAGGCCTACAAGACGACACGCGATCTCTTCCAGCCGAAGTATAGCAAGCTCCCCCTCGGACTCGCCGTGCTCCTCGCCTTCACGCGACCGCTGACCCTCGCCGTGGCGACCGAGGAGCTGCCGCCGCACGTGGCAGTGCAGTTCGGGCTGACAAGCTCGTGGCGGACGAAGTTGCTGCACGGTGCGTTGCAGGGGTTCCATAAGCTGACATTCCCGTATTATCCGGCGTTTGTGCGGCAGTGGCAGAAGAATTATTATTTGTGGATGATGAGGGAGCGGATGACGAAGAAGGGGATGACGAGGAATGGGCGGCATATCTCTACGGAGCTGTTGGGGGCATAGAGACGTGCGAATGGCATGGCATGGATAGATGTATGTTTTTTATGCGATACATAGGAGGGATAAGCGACAGGTGCAGTATGAACCTTAAACTGTGGGGGGCCGCAGGATGATTCGGTCGATGTTTGTTTAGCTTTCGCAATAGATTGCATTGTATGGTATCCAAGATCGCTCATCTGACATCCTATCTACCTCCATTTCCGTGACAGTACCGTCATATCCATGAACGGTAGGTCGGATACAAACCCAACCGGTTGCATCCCCGAACTGTACCGAGGACCGCCGCTAATAAACATCATATCATGCAAGCAGCCAAACAGTGACAGGCCATACATGACTGTACATGTATTCCAATATGCCAATATAGTGTGCTGTGTTAAAGGAGCATTCCTAGGTAATCTAACACCATCATGCCTTCATGACCGGCGCTAGAAGTTTCGTATGCATCTGGAGACGCGAACATCCGAGATCCCGGAACCCAACTGCTTGGTTGGGGGATGCAGTGACCGCAAGCGAGTGGCTCAGCGCTTTATACTCTTGACATGTATCGTTCCACTGAAACGGAACGGTCCAGGCAAACAGACCTGAAGCCTGTCATTAGTAGGGAGAATATCTCATGGGCAACCAATGCCAACGGCGATTCGCACCATGCGCTTCAGAACCCATCTCCCGCCTTATATTCCCTCCCTGAGACCTCCGCTCTGATGCGCGGATCCATCCCCCGCTCAAGCGCGACCCTCCTCCCCGAACCGAGCTCATTCCGAAGCCGTCCCACCTCGTCCTTCAACCACCGTTCCCGACTTTCCGCCGGGAACTCCAGATCCTCCCAGCGCGTCACCGCACCATTCATCCCACCTTCCCACACCTCCCTATTCTCCCGAAACCACCCCGCCAACTCCCGCTCCAACCCCTGCATCCGCCACCTTACCTCAAACCACCTCCCAAACTCCTCGTCGTCCTCGAAACACACCCCGTACCCGTCGCAGTAGCACGCGTGCATCGCCGGACACACCTCGCTCTCCCCCGCAAACACCACCTGCCACAGATACTCCCAGATGCGCCCGCTCATCGAGTCGCGGATGCTCGTGCGCAGCAGCCAGTCGCGGAAGAAGATCCATCGGCCGCGCGGCGTGCGCTGGATCACCTCCCGCGTCACCGCCATCTGGCTGCAACACGGCTGGGCTAGCGTTTGCGGGATGTCGGTAAGGGGGAATAGCTCGCTAAAGGCGCGGGCGATGAAGAGTTCCTCTTTGCGGTCGGGGACTTCAGCGGTGGCGCCCGGGTGCAGCCAGGCCGGGCAGCCGGGGTCCCAGTGGCAGCGGAGGTTCATGTAGCCGTGGGAGCGGGCGAGGCGGTGGTAGTTGAGGCGGCGGAGGGACTCGGCGATGTCGTGGTTGAGGAGGTCATTGTTGTGCCAGGCGGTGCGGTGGTTGTGGAGGAAGAGGATGACGGCGGGGAGGGTGTCGTAGTGGTCGATTATGTAGGTCAAGTAGATCATGGCTTCGTTGCCTTTGTTTTTGGGTGGGTGGAGCGGCGCGGAGAGGTCGTCGGCGACGTAGATGGCGGTGGAGACCGGGTGGGGCAGGTCGTCGAGCCAGGTCGTATTCTCTTTCTTGAGGCGCGGGATCACGAGGACCATGCTATCTGGCTGTCCCAGCGCTTCTCGATCGGGAGCAGGTTGCGACTCCAGGCTGGGAAGGCTCCACATGAGCTCCGGTGGCAGCGTTGGGGGGTCCTCGGGTTTCGGTGTCGGCTTCGGGCGCAGCCCCGCCAGCCATGTTTGCCATGGTTTCTGGAGATCATGGCTAAAATGAAGAAATATGACACAGCCTATTATGAGGAATATAACCAGTTCGATATACCGGCGGAGTCGGGGCATGGTTCGGTAGCGTGCTCGGCGAGTCGTTCGTGCTACGGGACTTCGCGCGGGTCTCTTGAATGGCGCATGGATCGTGGCACCGCCTGCGCAAATCAACAGTCAGCTTCATGGAGTCTCGGAAGCGCGTCGAAGAGATTCAGACATACTAGGTATGATATAAATTTCCAAGGATAAATGTTCCGGGATGTAGTGGGGGGTTCGCGACTCAATATATGCTGGATCCAAAAGGTGACGAGTCGTCTGGGCTCCACGAGAGAGTTCCGTCGTTTCCTACATAAAGACGATTCTCGCCTCCAAAATATAATATTTGGGAGGTCGGGGAAGGTAGAATGTGTAACCACGGATGTGTAAGATTCAGGAACACACCGACGCGGGCAGGTGCTGGAATCAACTATGGTTTGGGGCGGAGTTTTGGGATCCTTCAAGAGGTATTCTTTGCGAAGGAGCAGGAAACGTGAATATGGAAACCAATGGGATAATAGGCTCCTTGTTTGTGATAGTGATTACTTATTCCATTATCATATCAATCGATAAGAAGGAATACCTATCATAGTTCACAGGCGTGTCCTCCCAATGTGAAAGAGAAGGGGATTATCAAACCTCCATCGTGGCGAATCTTTATGCAGGGACATGGCTTAGCGTCCCATCACCGCCATGCTTCACCAAATGTGCCCCTAAAAAAGTGCAATACCTATCAAGAAGTTCCATTTTTGGAAAGCCGCTACAGGCATATTTATGGCATACTATTTATACACAAGCCTGTTTGAAGCGTTCTGCACCTGTAACTCACCACTTGGGAGCAATGACATGAAGCGTATCTGTACCAACACGATCCCGAATCCCATGACCGGCATCCGTGACCCGTCAAATGCCGCGACTTCTCCAGAGTCCAGCAATCTCTCTTCCAAGTTCTAAGGATATAGCGCTCACCCACTATTCACCCAAGGACATGCAATCGGCGATCCTGTTCATGAAATGCCGGAAGTGAAGGGTTGCAAAACCCCTACATATCGCCCTCAATCGCGACGTCGGTGATAATAGTCGTCGCCATACCCATAATCCTCATTGCGGTACTCCCCTCCACCGCGGCGATGGCGTCTCTCGTAATCATAGTCATCCCACTCATTTCGCCGACCATAGTTGCGCTCTTCTCGATATACATATCGATGACGTTGAGACCGATGATGGCCGACTTCAGTTCGGAGCCCTTCTTGTCCCTCAGGCAGGTATCGATCATACCGCCCCTTCCTAGATCCATCGGACGCATGGGATCCACCATACTCATAGCCATCCGACCTGTACCGCTCGATGTTGCGCGGTGTCCTGTACGAGCGCACCGGCCTCCCGTAGTAGGGTTGGTGTTGATACCCGAGATACCGCCCGGGCGTCGGCTTCCGCCCATAGGCGCGGAACGCCTTCTCGAGGTGGAGCGACTTGCCGGCGAGGGTCTGGCCGTCGATGGTGGCGATGGCGCGGTCAGCCTCGTCAGCTGTGGCCATGGTGACGAAGGCGAAGATGCGGCGGGGAGGGCCGATCTTCGGGGATGGGACGATGTTGCAGGTGCGAACGGTGCCGCAGGTAGCGAAGAGGGTGATCAGGTCATGGGCGGTGGCGCTGGCGGCGACATCGCTGATGTAGATATTCGTGCCATTGTTGTGGGCTTCGTCATCGTCGTTGATAGGTTCGTAGCTTGACGACGGAGGTCTGATGTGAGGTGGTTAGAGATGTTTATGTGTTTGGTGTAGACTGCTGGGTTCGAGCGATCCAGGGCTTCTGACGCGACTGGTGGATACGGTTGTAATTGCGGGGATTTTGTTTATTCTTTGCGACGAGAGCAATAGGAGTATAGAGAGCGACTTGTCGGTCATAGCATACCTAGTATCACGGCGTTCATTTCCACGAGTGGAGCACTGCCCCTCAGACTCATTCCAGTTTCCACCATTGGTAGAGATCCTGCCAGAGTCCCCAGCCGTGCTTCTCAAAGCCAAGTCCCCGGGAGAATGGGTCTCGCTTCGCACAGGGCGAGTTTTCCCATCAACTTGATCTCTCACCTTACCATCGCCATCGCCGACCTCTGGGTTGTAGACGCTGGAGTTCCCGGCCCAGGAGGTAGGAAGCGTCTCAGCCGCATCAGATCTCGCCCCGCAGCCATTGTTGGTGCCATGACCATCCGGCCGACCACGAGACTGAGGCTCAGGTTGAACTGTACGGAAAGTGTTGGTTAGTATGTTGGGGAAATGGATGAGAAATTGAAGAATTCCTTACAGGTTCCAGATCTCCATCGGGGACTGCGGCTCGGGCTGCGGGAGCGGGAGCGACCAGGGACGGAAAGACTGGGGCTGCGGCTGTCCCTTCCCGTTTTGGCCGCCATCACGATAACAAGGGTATGATTGGTCAAATGCTCCTCTAACGCTTGTCAACCGAAAAAGGGAAATCTCGCGATGTTGAAGCTGGCGTCGTTCAACGGAATTGAATGAGAAAAAAGGTGTAACAAAATTTGTTTTGATGACATTCCCAAGCTGAGGATAAAGTAGAAAATTCGAGTGCGCTTTCAGTGAACTGTGACTTAAAAGTGTGTAAACACATTGCTCGTTGGATGGGTAGGGAGAATATACGCCTTGTCGCCTTGTCGCCTTAGTCCAGCAGCAGCAGTGCAGCAGGGAGGCAGATTGATCCACAATTGAGCAGGAATCATGATTGAGGCCGCAATCCCAGTTGATATCCAATCATCCAGGCGGATCTGAGTAGATGCGAGTAACTTTCTCCAAGTTTTTGATGAACGAATTTGTACTATTAAACCAGGCGTTACCCGAATCCCCTAATTGAGCCTTTCATTTCCTGTCATCTCTTGCATCTTAATGTAGACGTTCAGCGTCGTTTGAATCCGATGAATCTCTCAGGCACCTTCAACGCGTTCCGCCTGCTGAGAGAGCCGTCAATATGTCTCCCGCATCATACTATACCAACATTTGAGCACCTCTCCCTACCCCTGGGCGCCGACTTTGCAAGGCGTGCAGGGCAGAGCAAACCGAGCATCAAGGCGGTTGTGCTCGATAAGGATAACTGCTTTGCGATTCCGCATACAAATGAGATCTATCCTCCGTATAAGGTAGGGATTGGCGAATGGGGTGGATTTCGCCACGTCGCGGAGCCTGTAAGTTCGGAATGCTGACGGGAACGAATGTAGGCGAAATTCGAGGAGCTTCGCAAAGCCTATCCAGGTCGTCGGCTCCTGATCGTCTCCAACACGGCCGGAACGCTCTCCGACCCGGGAAATCGCGAAGCCGAAGAGCTGGAGAAGAACACCGGCGTCCATGTCTTGCGGCATGCGGTCAAGGTAACCAACCATTGAAAGCCCCCTGAAAATCGCCGAGAGAAGTCATGCTGACGACGCGGCAGAAACCCGGATGCCACCAGGAGGTTCTGGATTATTTCCGAAAGAATCCAGAAGCGCAGGTGACATCGCCCGCGGAGATCGCGGTGGTGGGCGATCGGTTGCTCACGGATATGATGTTGGCGAATATGATGGGGTCCTATGGGGTGTATGTTCGGGATGGGGTGACGAGCGAGCGAAGCATAGTAAGTCTATTGTCTAATCACCGCCGGGATGATGGTGAAGCGTCACACTGGACGACATACATTGCGTTTCATGTGGTAACGATTGATGAATAGTTCTCAAGCATGGAACTGCGCCTGAGTGCGTTCCTGCAGAAGCGTGGGGTTGTGGCACCGCACCCTGTGAGCGATTTCGAATGATCCCAGATTCTGAGGACGTCGAGCCTCGGTTGAGTCGTGTCGAGCTCGACTGGTCGAGACCTGTTGCTTGGAACATCTACCAAGTACTAAAGTACTTCCGGCAACATATTCTGTCAGAGATCAACCATTTCATTGCAGCCAGCCCGCAATTATGTGCAATGTAGATCGTACACGCTGGCGGAATTAATAGCATAAAGTGGTAACTCCGTGAACTTAGGTTTCAGACCTCGTCCCCCCTGTCGAGATGCACCAGAACCCAGAACAACAAATATTGAGCGAAACGTTCTCGAACACCAACAATTGTCAAACCTTATTTATCGTTACGTTAGGCGATGGACGATAATTGCCAAGGCGGCCTCTGTATCAGTGCCTGTCGCTCTGCTGCGTGCGATGCTTGACGCCCAGAACCGTTTCGGAAGTATGCGCTGCTTTTTGAGGCAATTTAATCTAATCCATACGATGGCGATGATGACAGGCTGTCGCGATGTTTTTCCCGTTCAAATATGTCTATAACTATTTTTTCAAAACTCATTCATGTTCGTTCTTTGCTAGTAATAGATTATTTCTATGGGTTTCATCCAACATGCGTTGTCCACCCGTTCTGCAGTGTGTTACTGTGCTACTAGGATTCGGTACAATAGCCAAGGGCGAAGGCTGGTTCGGAAGCGGTTCTCAGAATGCGGTAACGGTATGTGTTAAGAGCTTTTGAGCGAGAATTCAAGCTAAGCCGACGCTGACTCCAGTATGAGGACGATTTCCCGACTCCGCGGCATCAACAAGCCAAAGAAGCCTTACTCAATCATATCCAACGAGATAGGTGGGTGTGGAACCGAAGTCATCCCCGCTACGCCTTGTTAAATGCACTGTATGGATATCTGCGATACCGCGAGAGTAATATTGAAGAGGTCTTAAAATGGAAGGAACTATACGAAAGACTTCCTTTTGCACAGAAAAAGGTTCGTGATGGAGAGGAGCAGACGTAAGCCGAGCTGACGCAACAAAGGTTGCGCGAGACGTAATACACTATGACAAGAGCTTAGACCGGGTGGAGCGGCTATACGAAGAGAACGCGCAAGTGGCCGATGCCATTCTAAACCACGGGCTCCAGTACTATCAAGTGGACCGGAAGGAGCTCGAGCAATTTGCTCAGGAGGCCGAAGCGGACAAACGAGAACCGGATCGTAAGGAAGTTCTACAGGCAATGCGCCATTTCGTTCGAGACTGGTCGGATGATGGCACGCATGAGCGCATGGAGACATTTCCATGGGTCCTTGAGACAATTGATGGACTGTTTCCATCGCGCCATGACAATCCCGACAATCCGATCAAGGTGATCATCCCAGGATCTGGACTGGGGAAGTTAGCGCACGAAATCGGAGACCTAGGAGGTAAGCAAAACATCTACAGAATCATGTCAGCAGCATTAACCCCCGCAGGTTTCGAAGTGACCTCCAACGAGTGGTCAATGTACATGAGCGTCGCATACCGATACATGCAAACGCTCAAAGAGAAGGAATCCGTCACATACTACCCGTACATTCCCCGCTGGTCCCACCAAATCAACCGCGCGAACCTCGAACGCGGCGTCAAGATGCCCAATACCGCCATCGACAACACAGCTATCGTGCACGTCGAAGGCGACTTCACCCACATCTTCAAAGCCCAAGCCGGCCAATTTGACGTCGTCGTCACGCTCTTCTTCATCGACACTGCCTGGAACCTGCTGACGTACATGGACAGCATCAAGGCGATGCTGAAGCCAGGTGGGTACTGGCTGAACCTGGGGCCGCTGCTCTACCGCGCGCAACCGTACGTGCAGCTCACTCTAGAGGAGATCCTAGACGTGTCGGAGCACATGGGGTTCGAGTTCCTGGACATCGATCCGAAGTGGGGGAACCTGACGGTCGAGGGGAGGAAGGCGAGGGGGGTGGAGGCGCGGTATAGTTTCGACCTGGAGGCGTTGATTAAGCATGCGTATTACGCACAGATGTGGGTCGCAAGGAAGACGGAGGATGACCTGTTTCATTCAGAGCTGTAGATGTAGCGTTCCAAGGGATTTCCTGTCACTGTCTGGCATGAACCGACGATCGATTGCTGGAGCCGACCCTAGCTACCGAAGTGGATGAGGTGAGACGCGAGATGTGATGAGAAATATATTATCCATAGCCAAATACGTCTCCTCGGAACTAGCCGTTAAGGAAATGATACAGCGGTATCGGTACCGCGTTAAATCATCTGGGGGCGAAAAGTACGATGCTTGTCATGCACATGAAGATCTAAATTCTATTATTCTAATGCGCTTATGGAGAATCAAGGATTATTAATATGCGCGCGACGAGCGAATAGTGACAAATTCTGTAACCAAGACTCAGGGGTCTGACTCAGGAGACATCAATAAGCAGAGAGACTGAGAGAGGAAATAGAACCGAATATGACGACAGGGCTTCCGTGGGGGAAGAAATTGATGGCCCGTACCATAGAGGCCTTCAGGTCTGAGGTCAGAGCCTTAAACCCGTACTCCATACCACACAGAAATCTAAGTTTTGAATCGAGCTGCGACGACGCACCCTTACATTTAAAGGCGGATTTAAAGGCGGATTTAAAGGTCAAATTATATTTTAAGAGCTATATCTACCTACCGTATGAGTCTGAATTAAATTATCCTTTTTGATGGTTATGATTTTTCGAGAAGAAAACGATATTATGGGCCATCAACTTCTTCCCCACGGAGCTTACTGCCTCAGCGCCTTCTCCCTATTTTGATATTGAAAGTTTGGAACCCGTGACCCTGGACTCATAACAACATGACAAAGCAAAAGCCACGTCAAAAATCATATCACATACCAGATCAGATGCAATTCATGCAATGCAAATTACAAATGTCCATGATTTCTTTGAACACTGAATTCTTAGTTTCTTACCAAGCCTATTGCCACGCAGTGTGCCGGGAATGCCTGCCTGCCGTACCTCAAGAGTGCATTCTAGACTTGCATCGGTTCTCGAGTACCTCTACTTGGACTTCAGCAGCATGGAGAGTAGATGATGTGATCACGCCTATCCATATGGTCTTTCCACCATGTTTTGTCACATCTCGGGTCAAGCCTTTTAGGCTATTGCTCATGCCTCATGGTCCAGAATCGAAGCACTGATATCTGAAACGTAAGCATCTACAGCGTATTGCAGCATGGAGATCCAGTAATATTGCGTGGTCAGATTTATCAGCTACGGCCCTCGGAGTTAGGCAGTCAGACGGTTTTTACACCTACGGTGAGTTTCTACCAAGACCTGTTGGTTCACTAAACCTGTATTGTTGCGAATTGCGAGGTCACCGTTGCTAGCTTTGTAACTTGTAGTGACGTTCAATAAGTCAAATTTCACTAATTAATTAACCCTATCGACTAACTAATGGTTTAAAGTCCATCCAACTGGGACGTTTGGACTGCATCACCGGCCTTAACAGCTTTGTCACCCGGAGTTAGAACCATCCCCTTGATGGATTCCTTCATCCTTTCACATTCCTGAACCAGAGGATTTGGTTCTATGTTATATTATAAATGTTGATTATGTATTCACATTGTTATGCTGCCCTCCAGGAATATATTTATATACTTCTTACTCGAGTTTGCTGTCCCTTCAATTCACTAAGATACAACCTTTACTCCTTTCTCACCACTCTCTCACTACTCTCACTTCCCCCACGACCGTTACACTCGGTTCAGTCCGTTTACGCACCTCCCCATCATCCTACTCCAATACCATACTCAGCCGAAGAAAAAATCAGCACTTGCGAAATACCATGACTTCATCGACAACCTCAGAGAAGGGCGATCTCAAAGCCGAATCTGGAACGACAACTCCTGCCCCTGGACGAAAGTCGCCAAGCATTCTAGAAGATCCTGAAAAGGATGCTGGGATCCTGTCTCCCAGTGTTCCGAACGATTCTGCTCCTCAAGAAGAGTGGACACGACCATACACACCCTGGCGATGGGTTCTAGTGCTGGTAGCCCTTTACCTGGCGGCGTTCCTCTACGGGCTTGACAATACCATCGTTGCCGACGTCCAGGGCCCCGTCATCGAAACGTTCGGAAATGTGGACAAGATTGGTTGGCTTGGGATCGGCTTTCCCTTAGGATCCATCGCGACGCTTGCTACCTTCGGCAAGGCCTACTCCATCTTTGACATTAAGTGGCTGTTCAATGGTAGCCTGATCATGTTCATTGCCGGCAGTGCGCTTTGTGGCGGTGCGCCGTCCATGACCGCTTTGATCATTGGACGCGTTTGGGCCGGAGCTGGCGGTTCTGGGATGTACCTGGGGTAAGTCGAGGTCCGAGTCGCTAGAAGTTCTCGTACTGACCAGTGTCACAGAATCTTGAATATTCTCACAATAAACACCAACTCAATCGAGCGGTCCATGTATATGTCCGGATGTGGCCTGGTATGGGGTATCGGCTGTATATTGGGACCAGTCATCGGCGGGAGCTTCGCCGACAGCTCCGCAACTTGGCGCTGGGTATGTTAAGCTTTCTCCATGTGTTGCATGCATCTACTAATGCTCCATAGGCGTTTTATATCAATCTCATCCTATATGGCATTCTTTGCCCGGTGGGAATTTTCTTCATCAGATCCATCAACCCCCAGCCGGATAAGACTTTCTTCAATAAGCTGCGACATATTGACTGGGTAGGATCCTTCCTCAATGCTGGCCTGTACACGTTCTTCGCCTCCGCGTTTACTTTTGGGGGTGCGGTCTATGCATGGAACGATGGCAAGACGATCGCCTTTATTGTCCTATTCGCCGTGTTCCTCATTGCCTTCGCCCTTCAGCAGACCTACATGGTGTTCACCACGTTCGAGACGCGAATCTTCCCGATCGACTTCATCAAAGACCGCACGCTCGTCCTGCTCTATATCGCTCAGTCCGCGGCAGCGACTTCACTATTCATCCCGATCTACTACACCCCTCTCTTCTTCCAGTTCACCCGAGGCGACTCCGGTACCGACTCTGCAGTCCGACTCCTACCATTCATCTTTCTCGTCATTGCCGCGATCCTTTTGAACGGATTCCTCATGCCTCGATTTGGATACTACATGCCCTGGTTCCTCGTCGCACCGATCTTTACCTTAGTTGGTTCGGCGTCTTACTACGCACTCGTCGATGCGTCGATCAGCGCAGGAAAAATCTACGGATTCGGCGTCCTCATGGGCATCGGCGCCGGCCTCTCCCAGCAGTCATCGTACTCCGTAGCTCCCACGCAAGTCGAACCGCACCGGATCTCGGACGCCCTCAATTTCATCAACAGCGCCCAGATCGGCGGCTTCGTCATCGCCCTCACGCTCACCTCGTCGATCTTCCAGAACATCGGCTTCTCGCACGTGAGCGCCGCGCTCGCTGGACGGGGTTTCACGCCCGCCGACATTCATCTGGCGCTGGCGGGAGCGAAGAGCGATCTGTTCGCCGACGTGCCGGACAGTGTTCGTCAGGCGGTAATTGATGGCATCGTCAAATCCATCGGCAATGGGTATATCCTGGTCATCACTGCTGCTGCGGTTGGGCTTATCGCGGCTCTTTGTATGAAGAGGGAAAAGTTGTTCATGGAAGTCGGAGCTGGCGGTTGAGCTGGGGAGGAAAAGCAGTGATCATTGATTATCCACTGTTTTGGATCCTTAGTTACTAAAGGAACAAATGGGGGTTGGTCCCGTTAATACCCAATAGAAGGCCTGGCTAGAAATAACGCTATAGAAATAGAAATATCCAAGAATATAATTATTTAACTCGTCTGATGTTATCGCGAGGAGAGGGGTTCTAGAACCTGTGTTGCTGGCAAATTACCAGTCGTCAAACTCAGTTCGCATGATAATATTGCCCTCGTTTGGATTAAATTCTCCGATTCGGAGTTCGTGCATCAAACGGAGTTGAGCGAGTCCATCCCTTGACCGACTGTAGCAGTGGAGCAGGGGGTCGTTGCTTGAGATGGTGACCTCAGGTTGTTTTCCGATCAGCCCACCAACCTCCAATATAATTGTTTCGCCAGAATCTCCTTGTCTGTCACGAGTGAACTCAAAACCATGAATTTTGGCTGTGCCAATCATTGTCCAGAAGAATATCTGATACCTCCACCCTGTAGGATTTCGTTGATTTTCTCATGGCGTGATACCCTTCCGCTGTTGGCTGCTGATTCCACCTCATTCGATCGTAGATATGCAATGCCATATATCCGCATCAGCGGGTAACCAGTATATAAGGATTGGGTCGGAGAGAACAGTTACGATGGAGTCGGACGGATCACGGCAAACATATTTACCACAACTACTAAAGTCAACCCAAATCAGTTACTGCATCAGCCAAACCCTCAACACCTCACCATCGACATGGCATACTACTACATCTATCCGCCACCTGACCCATACACGGTCTATCTCAACCACACCTTCCCCGAACACCACCTCCCCTTAGAAGGCCTGCGTCACAAAATCGCCGCACCCTTCCACCACAACCGCGACCAAGACCTCCACCTCCCCAAGACCGACGTCCGCGAGACCGCAACCCACTTCTACATCGAAGTCGAGCTCCCAGGCCTCGACAACGTCGAGCAGATGCACCTGAAGTGGAAGAACTCTCGGACGCTGGTGCTGGCGGCGCACATCGGGCGGCCGGCGACGGAGGAGGAGGCGGCAGCGGAGGGCGACGTGAGGCATCTGGTGCACCAGGTTGTTAAGGAGCGGTTAGTCGGGGAGTTTGAGCGGTCATTTCATTTTCCTGTGGAAGTGGATGCGGAGAAGATGACGGCGAAGTTGCATGCGGGGTTGGTGAGGATTGTGTTAGCTAAGATGAATCCCGAGGAGATCACGCCGCAGCCGGTTGAAGTGGAGCATAGTGGACATTGAGGGGAGGTTTGGGTCTTCTTCGTATGGGTGAGCGTTGGTTGGAATAGCGCTTGGGATCTGAGTATTTGTTCTTGTGTCGGGATATGATGCAAGCAGTCGTCGTCGTTACCATTCTGCTTGGGAGGATTGTGGAATTTATGATACCTATGGTTAGTGTAATGAAACTGTTGTTTAGCAATTGTCATCCAATGAATAGAGCGTGTTGGTATGGTGTTGAATCCTGCTTTGGTGTGATACAAGACCGCTCTTATCGATAACCGCCTGTTTCTGCAGTGCAACAGCCTATCTATGCTAAATTGCTAATCCATCAACGCATCAACACGAGGGGGTTTGGTTGAACCAAGTGCTATATATTGGTTGAGATGCCTTCTCTCAATCGAGCTCAATTGGATTCTTAGGACTATCAAGTATCGCGAATCTGTTGAATCGTGACTTTGTGAGACAGCTGTTGAGCACAGGGCAGGACGGCAAGGGTGTGAACCGGGAATTATTCGTCCGGCCCCTATGACTTCATGATACGATGATCCTGAATCGCGACTTTCATGATCTTCACCAAATATCTCTCGAGTTCGATTATCAATTGATCGCCCGGTCGACTTTAAAACTATCCGCGCGTTGGAAATCGCGGTGCTATCCGGGTCTACCACGTTTATTGCGGTTCCTCGACACGGTTCACGACAGGTCCCCGAAGTCGATGGCTTACGCATTCAACTCAAATGGTGAATGCAATCGCAATGGCGGCCAGGAGCGGATAAGCTTTTGGTGGGCACATATCGTTCGCATTATGAGCTCACTCTTGATCTATACTGACATATCGTCGTGTAGAGGCCGTATCTCGAACGAATGATGTCCCACGCCACATCGTAATATCCGTACCCCTTGCGTGCATTTATCGCAATGGATAGAAAGACACCACACTCCGCCTCGTCGAATGGCACGACCGACGGGCCGGCTTCCACCGATTCTACTCGAGAAGTAGTAGAAGGGTATGCTGGGGCTGATAGTGCGGTCAATGTATGGGAGCATGGTTCGGTTGAATAATAGACACACAAGGCTGACGAAAAGGTGCACACCAAAGGGGACCACACGACCTACGACACATAATTCCGGAGATGGAAGCCCGGCAGACTCGACGACGACGAAATCGGGCTCTATGCAGCGGACAAACACCGATGCGACGCTTTCCGCAGTGAGCCGGATCAATGACATCCCCAGTTCACTCAAGGATCGAGACAAGGACAAGAAGTAAGCCTGAGATCTTTCGTTCCCAACGCAGCACGTTTACGCGACTGCGGTCATTTTACCGTCTGAATAATCGATTTGCAACCTTCATATTTGCGTTTCGTCGATTGCGCGTGGCTTAGCGCGCGTAAGCATCCGAGACAAAGCCCCCAACGAGGCTGACTGCGATCTACACCGACAGAAAAGGTGTTTCGTTCCTGAGCCGAATCATTGGCAATAAAAAACGCGGCGCCCTCCCGACCCATGGCCAAGATGCTTCCGACCCGGGTGATGGCAGGCCGGAAGGCATGGACGCCCACCTATTTTCCCATTCCACAGACAACGTGGGATTCAGTCCGCAGTACCCGCAACCGCCCCAATATATCAAGGTTCGATCGAAATTCAAGCGGGAGAAGGAGATCGATCATCTGTTCCTATCGCAGCAGTTGCGAGGTGGCCATCAGAAGGCGACGACGTTTCCGTTGGTAAGTCGGACCGCCACCGAAATCGCCTCGCATACGCAGGCGCGAGAGGATCCGGTATGGGCGCTGGAGTTCAGCAAAGATGGGAAATATCTGGCCGCCGCCGGACATGATAAAACAGTCCGAGTGTGGGCAGTTATATCGTCACCGGAGGAAAGACGAGATTTCGAGGATGCAGGATCTCCGCAGGGCGGACAAGGAGCGTCGCCTAGCCCTCTCCGCGCACCGGTCTTTCATCCTACACCATTCCGATTATATGAAGGCCATGAATCTACTGTCATTGATCTGAGTTGGAGCAAGGTATGCGATTGAACGCAGACATGTAGGTCACGAAGCGATGCTAACTGCTTTGATACAGAACAATTTCCTGTTATCTTCGTCGTTCGACAAGACGGTGCGGTTATGGCATATATCTCGCAATGAATGTCTTTGCACCTTCAAACATGCTGAGTATGTCCCGTCTATCCAATTTCATCCGCGAGATGACCGGTTCTTCCTCGCCGGCTCCCTGGACTTAAAATTACGGCTTTGGAGTATTCCAGACAAAAGCGTAGCATTCTGGGCGCAGCTACCGGAGATGATCACAGCCGTTGCATTTACCCCTGACGGAAAATCCTGCATTGCCGGGACTCTCGGTGGCCAACTCCATTTCTATGAGACCGACAACTTGAAATATTCGACCCATATCCACGTCCGCTCCAACCGCGGGAAAAAATCCCGGGGCAGCAAGATAACCAACATCCAAGCAATGAACTTTCCTCCGGACAAGCCATACGGAAATTTAAAGATCCTGGTTTCTAGCAACGATTCGAGGGTGCGGCTGTACAACATGCGCGACAAGAGCCTTCAGGCCAAGTTCAAGGGACACGTGAACAACGAGACGCAGATCCGAGCAACATTTAGTGACGACGGGAGATATGTGGTATCTGGGAGCGAAGACAAGAAAACTCACATTTGGTCAATCGACCCTGGCGATGCGGAGAAGGGCGAACAGCCCCTGGAAGTGTTCGAGTCGAACTCATCGATGACCATCGCATCGCTACTTGCCCCCACAAAAACGCGACAAGCTCTCAGTGCTTCGGAAGATCCTATATATGATCTCTGTAACCCTCCACCCGTTACCCTTGTTTCCCGGACCGAGTCCATTCATTCATCACGGCCACCGACAGAGAGCGAAAACGGCCAGGAGATTCCATCCGGAGAGACCACCACCAACCGCACCGCAGGGTCACCTGCGTACGTCGCGCGCAATGTACATCCCGGCGGTCACATCATAGTGACCGCCGAATACTCCGGCAGCATCCGCGTCTATCGTCAAGACTGCGCCTACATGAAACGGCGCCAAGCCGAAGCGTGGGACGCCAGCTCCGCATTCGGCAAACGCAACGCCGGCTCCACGAAAGGCACGAGCCCGCGCATCGGATTCGGCGGGCTCAATCGTTCCGGCTCCGTCACCACGCGTGCGAGTGCCGGGACGAACAGCGGAGCACGAAGCATGACGGCGCTCGCACTAACGAGGAGTCGTGAGCGGCGAGACTCGAGTTCGACGCAGCCGTCGAGCGATCGAATCTTGAGCTGGCGGCAGGGTATCGATACGAACAGCAGCACGAGCGTGGATAGCCCTCAGTTGGGTCGCAGAAGTGCCAGTCTTCGCAAAGGTCGGAGTGTTAGCCCGCGCAAGAGTTCTGGGCAGGTTTCTCACGCCTCGTCGGCCGGCGGGACGGGGTCGATGCCGAAGGCTCAACCTACGAAGTCGGACCCTACGCGGTCGCAATCGCGGCTTCAGCAGGACAAACAGAAAATCACGACCGAATCACCAGGGGGGAATGGCGGCGCGAGCAGACAAGCCACCCCCAAAGAACAGAAAGCACCGGACCGTATTCCTACAGACAGGGATAGCAGTCCCGACCCGCTTACGCAGCGAGGGAGTCAAAATCACACATTCTGGAACCCGCAAGCCTGGCGACGCGATCAAATGAACGCAGCCATGAACCCCTCATCCCGCCCTAAACCCCCGCAGACTTCCCCCAACCACGACTCCAACCTCCTAATGCCCGACCTCGCCGCGTTAAACAAGAAACTCAGCAACGTCAGCACGCTGAGCAGCGAGGGGAGCACCGCGGGGAGTGGACAGCAGCGGCTGTCGGCGGAATACAGTTCGGTAGGGGGAAAGGAGAACGAAGAGGCGGAGGTAAGGTGTCGGAGGTGTTCGGGCACGTCGTTCAAGGCGAAGATGATCGATCGGGCGACGGGGAAACAAAAGTGCTTTGTATGCTCAAGGTGCGGCACGCCTCTATAATGTTGGTAATTTAATGCGAAGTACACAACTCTACTTGAACAGTCGTGAGCGTTTTCCCGCTTATCGCATCCACATATCTATCACTTCGACGAGTGGTTGGTAGATTCCTATCAAAGCCCCTAATCACAACCCCTCCGCAGCGATCTTCAACACTTCCTTTTCCATCATATCAAACCCCTCCAACGCCTCGCCATACCGTTCCCACACCCCTTCTTTATACCCATCCGCCACGCGCTTCACAAACCCATCCTCATGCCATCGCTTCTCCACATACTCCTCAAACGTCTCCTTCCCTCCTTCCACGCCCCACGTGGCTTTATACGCCGCCCCAAGCGCGCACGCATTGCCGCCGATATCCAACTTGAACACCCCTTCCGAACCACCTAGCACTTCGCCAGCGATGCGCGCGATCGCGGGGTTCTGAGAGCCGCCGCCAACTAAGTATACACGACGCGGTTGTGGGGGAAGTGCCTGTCCCTGTGAGGACTTTTGCGGGGTGACGAGGGATTGGGACCGTAGCCTGAGCGATAAGAACTGCGACTCGATGATGGCGCGCACGTCGGCGGTGGGCTCGGGCCACGCTGAGGAGCCGGAGGAGGGGCTGGCGGGGTGGAGGGTTTGGGGTTTCGGGTAGTATAGATAGCGCCAGGTGCCGGCTTTTACGTTTGGCACGATCTCGGGACGTGGGAAGAAGAGGCCGAGTTTCATGGGGTCGGAGGCACTGCTTTGGCCTAGCGGAGGCGTCGCTGTCGCGGTGTCGTTGAACCGATCCCATGACCCCGACTCGTCTCCATTGACCGCATCACGGATCTGCTCCCGCGCTAGCCCGCCGTTCTTATAACACAGCATGAACATATACAACCCCGCCGCCGCTGGATGGTTCATGAAATGATACGCCGGATCCGGCCGGTAGTTCGGCGTCGACATGAGGAACGTCGTCGACGTGCCGAGCGATACCATCGCGTCCGACGGCTGCAGCGGGAGAGCGAGGATCGTCGATGGGTTGTCGCCCGTGAACGGGATGACGCTGCAGTGCGCAGGGAAGCCGAAGCGCGAGCGGAAGTAGCTCGCGACGGGGCCGAAGGACCGGCCGCCGGATTTCGGGACATGGCCGAGGCGTTGGCGGAGGTCCGCGACGCTGGTGCCGCCGGCGGTGAGCTGGAGAAGTTGGTCGTGCCATTGAGCTTTTTGGATGTCCCAGAGGTTCATGCCGGTGACGTCGCCGATGTCGATGGGGGCGACCTTTCCAAGGAATATCGACGCGAGGAACGAGGATACTAGGGAGATTCGTGCGGTGGCTTTGTATGCCTCTGGATACTTCTCTCGGAATCGAAGGATCTGTGGACCGCTGAAACGCTGCTCTCGGGTCAGTACTCGCAGTGGTTAGAGAGGCTTGAGAACCACATACATGATGAGCCTTGCTTCCAGTAATTGCAGCGAGCTTCTCCGGGCCCCCTAGATAGCTGTCAAACGCCTCACACTGTTTCTGCGTGCTCGCATCCTGCCAATTCGGACTAAACGGGTGACTAAACGCTCCGCGACTCTCCCCCTCCCCTCCACTCTCCAACTGCTCCAGCAACGTCTTCGCCGGATCCAACCCTTTCAGCAGCTCCTCCGCATCGTGGCTCCAGAACACCGTGCCATGTTGCATGCCTGCCCCGGAAATACCCTTCACTTTCGAGAAATCCAGGCCCGCGTCTTTCAGGCGCTGCAGGACCAGCTCGATGGCGTCAAGCCACATGGCGACGGGAGCGAAGATCTCGCCTTTAGAGGGGTTGGCGAGGACGCCTTTTTCGATGCCATATTTGGCGAGGTCAGCGTCGAAGTCGACTTTTGCCTCGTGGACGAGTTGGAGGTCGGAGCGGACGACGAGGCCTGTGAAGGGGTTTGTCGTCAGCGCGGGAGGACTTCGTCTGGACGGATTGCGGGACCTTAGGTACCTTTCAGTTGTTGGGTGCTCAGGTCAAAGCCCAGATAGAGTGATTCAACCATTGTCGAGGTATGTGTTGACATGAGCTCGAGGAAATTTCTCTCGCGATGCCATGATGTTTATTAACGGATCTTTGGCTTCTGATATGTGGGGATTTCTTGACAACGGAGCTCAGAGTGAGGTCATTCAGCCTAAAATGATCGGCGGAACTCCCATCACATTCAGGATCAGATCCGAGAGACCATCGAGATCCGAGACTTGCAAGGAATGTATTTTGACATATTGAGTTTGTACAATCTGCAGGAAACTATTGTCCATTGTTGTAGGTATATACCCCTATTATACAAACTGCCGGTGGTTTGATTTGTTTTAGACTGGATCCCTAAATTCCGGTCTAACTTAGACTATTAACACAGGAGAATCCGAATATCCAGAAGATGTTTCGCAGCGTATTTAACAATGGATTATCTATCCGAGTAAACATATTCGACGTAGAATAGTGACCCATTTCCGAGACCAATTTGCCATATATGAAGCAACCAGATGACTTCGGTGGACGAATATCCAACCCGTCTTCTAAACGCCATTGCTGATGCAAATCCCCATCCATATTGATAAACGAAACGCCTTCTCTTGCTTTACACGCGCTTCCCGGCGCGGATATGCTGTACATGCGTTTCCGCTCTATAGTTCCACCCCTTCCATGTCTCTCATTAAGCACGCTATCTGCGCCCGCTTCGCCGCCTCAGCCACAAGTCCGTAATCTTCCAAGAATGCCGCCGTCTCTGCAGCCGTGGTGCCCGCGTTCGGTGGGTATGTTGGTGGTCGTGCTGCATGCGGATTCGACTGTGACTGCGGCATCTGTTGCGCAGCGGGTGCAGGCGCTGGAGCGGACGAGGCGCTCATCTGCTGGTGCGGCATTTGTTGGTATTGCCCCGTCGGATACCCGTTCGTATATGCCGGCTGCTGATGAGGATGGCTGGAAGTCGGGAGAGGTGGCGATGTCGAATGCACGCCGGGAGGTATCCGTCCTTGTGAGTCTATCGAGTAGAAGTGATGACTTTGTTGTGTCTGCGCTCTGGTTGGCGAGGGAAGAGGTGCGGAGGCATTTCCTGAGGAGTAGGCGGTTTGTGATGTTGTGGCGTAGGGCGTCTGGGGATTATAGGAGTGCGGATGAGGCTGGTGTGTATGTTGCCGACCCGGTGTCGACATGGTGGCGACCGGGAAATTCAATCAGTCGGTTTCCAGAACAGAGGGGGTTTGATGTCCCGGCAGGCCGAAACAACCCTGAAATGACAACGACAACGGTTCGATTCGCTATGAGCGATGCGGTCGCTGTCCTCGATGCTGTACCAACTTCGGATTAATCGTATATGTAGCGGGCCATTTGCCGCCTTGATAGAGTGAGGTAGATTCGTATGCGCGCATAAGATCGTTCTATTGTCGGATAGGGAGTATCGGGAGTATCGATTTCTTATCTAGCCTTGGTGCTTGGGTTGACTTAGTCCGGGGATGTCGGGGTAGAGAACTAAGCGCATGTGAGATCTGAACGGTGATCCGCGATTAGATATGGACAACGAAAAGTAGTATCGTACAATGCGATGCCAACTCACCTCAAAGTTACCACCTGATAGATTATTTAATCGAGTACGCGACCTGATTAATAGACCCGGGTAATGAATAGTGGTACAAGATCGAAGATCTTCAGTTCCATTCAATGCAGTCCCACATAGATCGGGGAGTCTAAACCCGACAGCATAGCGGGAAATGAAATTCTATCCGGACCCGGAGAAGTACCAACCGATTGGACGAAAGAGCGACAATCGACGCGCCGTTTGAAAAAGATGATGAGAGGTGTAGATGGATAGAAGATGGCGGCAGAGCTGAGAAGTACATAGTACAACCTCGGCGGAGAACCCGAGAAGATGTTCGGGGATATCATTTATCATATGGCATGAGACACCCAAATCCCCGGGAGCCCCGCAATAATACCGGTTCATACCTGATACATCTCCAACTCCTGTAACCTCCCCCACGGACTCGAGCCTCTCGGAGGCTTGGGAACATTTCCTGTTTCAGGTGTCTAGCACCAACGAGGCGTAGTTACTACCTGCCCTTGTATAATAGTTTTGTAGGATCTGTAAATCAAGCATACCATGCACCTGCTGCATGTGGACTAGGAACAATTATAGAGGATAGTTTTGTCTTGGATCATACAATCATCAGAGAGTTTTCTGCTAGGAATCCCCTTTAGTTACCTGTATCCCGTTCGCCGCTGACGGAGTGATTCATTTGACTGAACGAAAGGTGGCGGTATACATGCGCGTGAGCGTCATGAAATCGAAAATCACGAGATTTCGCGTTTTTAATACCGGTCTAACCGAGTAGGGTTAAACCGAATCATACTTCAACGACGAAAGCGCCGGGCGGGCAGGTATTCGATCTGTAGAGCCATAGCTCATAAGGGCGTGGACTACGTGGATGAGTTACACCTGAACTTTTGGATTGGTTTGGCAGAATCCCTGACTGGCCTGCCATCGTAGGGGCATGTATAGAAATACAGAGGGCACAACTTCGATAGCCTAGGGGCCCATACCAGACGTCAATTGATCAACCTGGCTGGTATTCACTGAAGTTGGGGTGAAGAGGAGTGAAGTCAGAATAGATTACCATAATGTACCAAATACCTACCAATGTTGACAGTTATCGGCTAATCCGATCTAAATTGGCGTCCCCACATCGTATTCCCATACATCGTACATGATACATCCCACCCACGTGCAAGTCTCTGTCTCTTGGTCTGTCTATTAGCCGTACGGAAGTATATCACCAGTTGTAGGTATCTTCCATACCATTTCACTATGCCAGTAAGTATTGCGGCGTCGTTGCTTAACTCAGACCAATCCATCCAGACCAATCCATCTGGATGCACTGACTCTTGCGAAGTTGATACTCATCTCCGGGTATCCTTGTTCGGGGAAGACACACCGCGCAACCCAACTCCTCGAAGCCATACAAACCCGAGTAAAGCAAGCTCCGACCTCTTCGTTCGTCGCGAATCTCAAGGTACATCTAGTCAATGATGAAACCCTCGGACTCTCCCATGACATATACGGCAACACCCGCGCCGAGAAGGATGGACGAGCCGCAGAGATGAGCGCCATCAAACGCCTGCTGAGCAAAGACGCCATCGTTATTGCCGATGGATTGAATTATATCAAGGGATACCGATACCAGCTCTTCTGCGAGGCCAAGGCTGTAGGGACAACCAGCTGTGTTGTATGTATGCGCAATGGACGTTCGATTCCCAAACTGACCCTCCAGAGGTCCACGTAGGCGTGCCCGCTGATGAGTGTCGAGCTGCCAATGCTCGTCGCATTGAAGATCCTAATGCGACCAATGAGTATGCGGAGGAGATCCTCGAAAACTTGATATTCCGGTATGAAGAACCGAACGGCATGACGAGATGGGATAGTCCCCTTTTCATCGTGATCAAGGAGGACGCGGAGCCGCCCGTCGATGCGATCTGGGACGCATTGATCGGAGGCGAAGGCAAACCGAAGACGGTCAAACCGCACATGGCGACGGTGATGGTGAGATCATTTTGCATATTCCTGCGCGCCCGTCTGACGTCGTACAGAGCCCGACCACCCCGCAAGATGCGCTCCAAGCCCTCCATTCCCAAACCACCGCCGTCATCTCCGCCATCCAAACCTTCCAAGGCAACGCCCCCGACTCCTCGGGTGCGGTGGTCACTATACCCGGGGTGGAGACTCCCGTTCAGTTGCCCATGAAGGCGGTCGGTCCGGCACAACTGCAAAGGTTCCGGCGGCAGTATGTGCAGATGAGGAGACAAGGGGGACTGGTGATGGGCGGAGGCGAGAAAAGTAATCAGGTCGGGCAGGTGGGGGGGCCAGAGGCGGCGGAAGGAGGATATAAATCTGGCTTCGTCGAGTACCTGAACGCGGAATTTGAGAGGCCATGACCGCGACGGCACACAGCATTGGGATTTCGATAGAACCATAGCGCGGGCGTTTCGGGGAAGGGCAAGATATTGCGGGCCAACTTCTACGTGGTCAGCAAGTCTTGGAGGGGATATGATTTACTATCTGTGCTTCAGAAACGGCCGGAGGGAATCACGCACAATGACTTCATGAATAGATTTGGCTCCTAGAAGCATTGAAGTTGTCGATAATAAAGAAAATATCCATTCATCCATTTCTGTCATCTAGAATAAACACCGTTTTTATATATTGGAGTTCCGCCATGGTGCTACCCGCTCCTCGAAATCCTCGGAATTCGGGGTCTTAATACCTCTATTTACAACACTAGAGATTTTTTCCACGACCTTGAGTTTGATTGTAAACGGACGGATCACATTTCTTTTACTTAAGTCTATCATAAAACCGAAGTCTTCCGTTTGAAAACATTCGAACCTTTAAATTCCTATCTTCTAAATCCCGTTGGCCTAGCCTCAATTCGCAGTTCTTGCTTCTACCGCAATGATCAAATCAGGTCGTCGGGAGGGCTGGCTGTCCCTCCCTCCGCACACTTTTAAGTCATGGACCCAACTGAACGATATCGAGCTGAACGGGATCAAGTTCGCCGAGGTCAGCGGTCGAGGCACAGGCGTCATCGCCTCGCGAAGCTTCAAATCTAAAGATGAACTCCGGCGTGGAAGTGTCGAGCTAGACAAGCTGATGACCTATGTTCCATTATACGAACCGGAGATGTTAATGAAGGTACCCCAGGATATGGTTCTATCAAAGGAGACAGTTCGACGGTGGGCTGCTCATGATGCTCGCTTCAAAGAGCTGTTGAATGCTTGCCCAGAATTGATTGAGGTTGGGATGCCAGGCGCGATTCTTTGTATTGATTCGCGGGATGGGATTGCTGACCATGATATACTTTGACAGAGGAAAGCTCGTGGATGGATTCTCTTGTTCCTATTATATCAAGTCACGTCTTGCAATCCTTCCACCCAATTACCTTGCTCACGGAATCCGTTCATGGAGTGAGATTTCACTGTTCCGACCATACGAGAAACCAGACTAATGCTGCCATGAAGCTATATAAAATTCCTCCCTGAAGTCTCGCTGCCGACTTTCTGGAGCCGCGAGGAGCAGAAATTACTGGCGGGAACCACCCTCCTCCCTGCTCTCAACGCGAAACTAGACTCTCTGAAACGAGAATTTGAAATATTACATTCGGGGACCGCGAATATCCCTTGGTGTGCGGATAATTGGTGGAGTCGCTCCGCTCCGCCCGGTTTCGACGATTTCCTGGTTATAGGATCTCCAGTACCGGAGGCCCGCTACTGGTCTGGGACGGCATTAACGTTCGAGGACTGGCTCCATCTGGATGCGGCGTATCGATCCCGCGCTTTGGAGATGCCAAATATTGGCGATGTGATGGTTCCGGCACTGGATATGGCGAATCATGCTAGCGAGGAGGATATCACGGCTCGGTACGATGTGGACGCTGATGGCAATGTGATGCTGGTGATGAAGGAGGAGAAGACTGGTGCTGAAGGGGACGAGATTTTCATCACGTATGTTACGGCCTTCCCCGGATATCTAACCCTTTGCTGAGAATGATTGGGGTAGGTACGGTGAGAAGGGTGCATGTGAAATGTTGTTCTCGTACGGCTTTCTCGAATCGTCCAGGACTACAGCAAGCGAACTATTCCTTGATCTGAGCATTCCAGACGACGATCCCTTGAAGTTCGTCAAAAAAACCGTAGCCACCTGTGCTCCTAGGGTCCGAATCTTTGACTCCGAGACAGAACACCGGGATGGTGGTCGAAAGGATGAAACCCAATGGGAAAGCGACTACGTCTGGTGGTCATGCGTCAATGAAGAGGACGGATTGGAATTCCGCGTCTTGCAACAGACGGACGGGGAAAGAGAGCTCGCTGTGATTTGGAAAGGGGCTCGGGTAGAAGATCCCAATATGATTGGCCAGCATCTGAAGGAGGATGAGCTGCGAGAACTTTTCGAGTTACGAGCGGTGGTCATGGTCCAAGAGCGTGTGGAGGCACAGTTGATCAAGCTCAAGGAGAATGGTCCGTCGGATGCGACCGACGATACAGAGATACGGCCAGAGGTGAAGGCTTCCATAACGAGACTGAGAGAATTGGAGGGAGAGCTTCTTGAAAGGGCACATGCAGACCTTGAGCACCAGGTAACGAGCACCGACCTTCCTGCAATGATTCCGTCTATGGATGCTGACATGATGATATTCAGAAACTCCGACTCGCCAACAGCGATACCGTCGAGCACTTCCTCAGTAATCAAGCACAACAAGCAGCGGCCCAAACAGTCGAGACGGTGAACGACGAAGAGGAAGATGACGATACCGAAGACTTTTCCTAAACTAGTAATATCGCAACATTCTCTCTACCGGTCCAGCCACCGATAGGTTGAGATGCAAGGCGGAACATTTGTGGCTTGCAGCCCAGGCACCTGGGATGCGGGACGCGGGAGCGATACGGGTTTCGATCAGTCCATCCTCTCCTGACTACAAGTTCACCCTCCTGATCGCGGTCTGGGCCAGGGTCAAAGATCTTGGTCCCACGTAGATTTTCCCCAGCTCTTGGAATCTGGGGAAGTGGAATTTCATCTAGAACGGAAAACGCTACGGTACTAACGGTCAACGGATCTCATACGACCTCAACAGAATCATGATCGTATATCTCTCAACTTTGGGTTCGGCGCTCGTATCTGATAATCCGAGGGAATTTTCCATCGGCGTCCACTCCAAATCCGTCAGGACCAAGCATAGCGTAGAGAGATAAAATCCTTCATTTGACGGCCGAACCGTACATACGGGATTGGCACCAACTCAGAAATGAAAATCAACTGATCGAAATGGAATCAACATCATGAACTAGCGAATACGGCGCATTCTGACCATCTCATCTCCCCACGAGGCAATATCTCACCTCAACAACCGGGATATTTTGCCTATATCGACAATGGCCGGAGGAAGACGGGCCAACCGCCATGACGAATCGACGAAGGAATAACTCGTCCGGGCCAGTGGAGCTGAAGGAATTATTCAACGATTATTGGCTCGTATTACGGTAAGCGCCGATATTCCGCGGTAAACCCCGCAGTATTAGGAGTCTTAAGTTGTTCGTCTCGTCTTCTACGGTTCTACCGGGAGCTATCCGTAATAACCGTTTTATTTTTTGGTTTTTATCTAGCCCTATTATTTGGGCCCCGTTTCTCCAAGTCCCCAGATTTTGCCTCCTGTTTTTCCCCAAAGTGGGCTCCTCAAGTCCCCTGCTGTGCTTGTTTAAGTCTACAGAAGAGTGGGATAATTATTTCATACAGCGGACATTGTTCGGGTAGCGATCGGATTCCCTGTCATCAATTGCATGCTGTTTGGCTCCGTGGCTGCACTCATATCGTGGTCGCGCCTCGTAGTCATTGCTTTCCTCTGCAACAATTTCGTTGTCACCATCAATCTATCCCCCCCTCCGGAATACATCTTACATATTTCATAAACCATATACCTCCTACTCCGCCGATACCCGCTTTTACGCTGAACCTTGCAGTCGAGCAGATTTCCTGGCCGTACATAATCACTTGCCGTGGTCCTTATTCAAAGTTCGTCATGGCTTAGCCCATGGCGGATACCTCGTAGCGGGACCACCCACCCCCATCATTTCGACCGTGTGGTCTTGACATCGAACTCCATAACCTTATCCTACCCCGAAGCGACATTTACATACGATTTGAATCGAAGTCGCCGATATGCCGGGCATTCTGCCTATGAAAGTTATTAAGATCGGGTCGGCAGCACAGCAGCGTATTGCGCAAGCCTGGTTCGTCACAATCGCCACTATCCCGATGACGTACGCTAATAGTCCCTCAGTGACCGATGCCGATCGAAGAAAATCCGATGCGATGGCATGAGACCGTATGTAGCACGCCGTTCTCGGGATCGCTTCCCGCCTGACATCGTCGATACAGGAGCTGTACCCAGTGCGTCAATGTCGGTTTCGAATGTAAGACGAGCGACAAGCTCAGTCGACGCGCATTCCCTCGAGGGTACACCGAGTCCCTGGAAGATCGCGTACGCAGCCTCGAAACCGAAGTCCGGGACCTGAAGATCCTCCTCGACGAGAAAGATGAAAAGATCGATATGCTGTCCCGAATACACTCGCATTCGCACTCCCCACACATTAAGCCAATTCAGATACGGTCGAGTTCAACGCCATCGGCTGCTGGTCAGAATACGGATGAAGAGCGTGCCGTAGAAAAGGAAGGCACCTTCAAAGTGAACCAGTCGCCGGTGCTCGTTGAAGATGAACATTGCGAATCCTACTTTAGCGGCACGTCGAATAGCCGAACACTGATCGGTAAAGGAATAAACCAGCCTAGACGAAATCGCTGGCTGACTTTGCTTCTAGATGCATTCAAAATGAAACTCCAAAGTTCGGGCAAATTCTGTGTCGATATCCACAGCAAAACCTTCTTTCCAGGAACCTCAAACCCCTCCACAATATCAGCAGAGGCTATGGATCCTCCACCACGACTAGTTTCGGATCAACTAGTCAATATCTTCTTCCAGGAATGGGCTCCGTTGTTCCCCATTTTACATCGCCCGACGTTTCTGAGCGTCTATGAACGTTTCGTCGCAGGATCCGAGGAAGATCTGGATGAGAAGTCGATCGCTCAATTGTACCTGGTGTTTGCAATTGCTGCTTTGGCGAGCGAGGTGAGCTCGACGTGCGCATCTTTCTATACGTGGCCTGTCTAATTCTAGTCAGAATGATCTGGACTTAAGTTCATTCGAAAAGCAGTGGCAGGACTCGCTCGAGTCCTTTATCATGGACAACGATATGGCTACGCTGCAGTGCCTGTCCCTTGCTCAGATCTACTGTTTGCAGACATCCGATCAATCCAGGCTCTTCAAATACAAGGGTCTATCCGTTTCTCTTGCCCAAAGATTAGGCCTCCACCAGTCTCAGAAACGATTTGCGCTGGGTGCATTGAGCAGCGAGACCAGAAAGAAGGTGTTCTGGACGATATATACCCTCGATTGGTAAGGACTCCTGAATGTCACGCAACCAATGTATTGTTCTCTAATCCGTCCGCAGTATCGCCGCTGCCCAATTGGGCCTACCACGTGCGCTCAATGATGTCGACGTGTTCTGCGAGTACCCGGTCGACGCGGATGATGAGTATATCACCGAAAAAGGCTTTCTGCCAACGTTGCCTGGAGAGTACACGAAGCTTTCAAGCGCTCTCGCCCTCTTCCGACTCTCTAGGGTCCTTGCCAAGATTCTGGCAGAAGTATATCCAGCTACCACAAGCTATGAAATTTCACTCAAGACCATCGCCAGACTTTCCGATGAATTGGAAGCCTGGCTCAGTGACCTAGCACCGCATCTCCGATTGCAATTTGTGCAGGATAAGCCGAGTACCCACATGATCAGCAGCCGATCGCCGATCTTAGTATGTCCCCACGTTTGTCGCCCCGAAGCCATTGCTGATGTCAATAGTCACTTGCCTACAATTACATGCGGTTCCTATTGTTCCGCCCAGTAGCATGCTCTCATGCCACACTCGGAGGCCGGACATCATCAGCCCTCGTGTCGTTGGGCAGCGCGTCGAAGCGCATGATACAGATCATCCAGCTTCTCGAGGAGCGTAACCTCAGTTTCTCTTTCTGCCTGAACAAGTCTGATGTTCTCGTGTCGTGCGCTTTCGGATTACTTTTCCAGGCCGTGGACCTGGATCCGGAGGGAATGCTTCTAAGGGACAGCCATCGTCTCATTTTGAGCTCTATCGAAATACTCGAACACCAGACCATTCCGCTTGCTATTGAGCTGCGCCGGATTCTGTATACGACCTTCGGATCGAGACTTTCACAGCCACCACCTGCTCCGAACCAGCAGATCCCTATCCGATCTGACAGTGGCTCAAAGTCTCAAGAGGCCTTGCTGGCAACTCAACGACATCTGAAAGCGATTTCTGCGCGATTTTGCTCCCCCAATAGCAGCAACAGTGAGGACGATGCTTTCAATCCAACCGAATTTCGTCGAGCAATCGCGCCCACTTCTTCGGATCGGCCGTCCTCGAGCTACCACAGGAATATGTCACAGACCTCACTCTCGTCGACAACATCCGACCTGAAGCAGTCACCAGTTTACCAATCCTCTTCGACCATCATCCAACCATGTAAATCGCCCGATTCGCAGGGAACGCCCAATAGCCACCTCAACCTGGACTACATGGCATTTACCTCCCCACCGGGACTCAGTACCAGCATCGCTTACTCTCCGAATACCTCCACCTCCGAAACCGATGTGTCCCCCGATGAATGGGAACGCATCATCAGCACCATGGACAACGGTGCCATTACCATCTACGACACGATCTACGGCGGTCCTGGCATCGGTCCTGGCATCGATCCTGGGCATTTTGACTCTAACGATCAGCCTCCCGTTCCTGTTTCTCCCGCAAAGAAGCAGCGTCCGGGTGTTCCAGCTCACACCTTCGCGCGGCCACGACTCCCTATAGCGACTACGTCAACGCCATCCGTACCGACGCCGCACCTTACGTCGAGGGATTCACATGGAACGGCACCCGAGGCGCTCGACTGGTCCATGATGCTGCCGGTGGCACCGCTCCCATCGAAGAGCGTTCTGAGCTTGAGTGACGAGAGCACCTCGAGCGGAGTGGATGAATGGGGAATCTTGATGCCGGAGCTTAATGATGAAGGATTTGTGTTTGGGGATGGCGGTCTAAATGTGTCGGACTTTCATGTTAGCGGGAATGGGAGGGTCTGATGTGGCCTTGCTTGGAGAAAAAAAGGGTCGCCGATTTTCACCGTCTATATGGTTTTCCTTTTGCTATTTTCCGTCCGATACCCTTTGCCACCTCTTGTTCCTCATTGTTGCAGTCCCTTTTGTCTGTCATTATCCATCGGCCGAACAAAGTTGCGCTGGGTACCTGGAAAGATCGACTGGGCGGCATGCGCTGGGAAAGCTTCGTATGCCGCATTATTTTACAGTACATCTACAGGTTTACAATGCAGCGATATGATGAGATCAAAGCGTTGTAATTACAGAAAGTTCGATATAGGTTCAGCCACAGGCCGTTTGAAATGAATTCAAATGAACAGAGCGGATGGCACATCGGGTCTCTACATTGAGCATCCTACACAGTAGCAGAATTCACCTCGGTATATCCGGTTACGGCCTAACGGACGTCAGAGACCTCCCTCCGACCATTGTATAAGTATTCGATGCGGCTCGTTAACCCTTGCGAATGTGGTATGCATCCACGAGTTCTCCCTACGGTGATAAGCCATCCTTAGGTCCATCCGAGCGCTCTTACCGCCTACCGATCGAAGTTCTCCAACCCCATGCCATCCGCAATCTTCTTGATGAGTACCTTCTTTAGGAACTGTTCCCGAGCCAAGCTTCGCGTTTGCTGAGCATGGACCGTTAGCCACGTGGCACCCCAGGAGATGAAGAAATCGCCACACACTTACCTTGATGAACAGATCAACACTGACTCTCCCGGCATCCAATGCACGGCTCAGCACGGCCCTCGCCTCATCCAGCGCGCTATCCTCGGCGCAAAGATTGTACAGCTGCCCACCCACGACGGTCGGAGCGACTAATACGTGGTCGATTTCCGGCGGCGGCTTCCGCTTCGCGTCTTCCATAACACGGTCGGCCTCTCTCATCGCATCTCGCAGGATCTGCTCGTTCGATGATAGCGCCGCATCTAGCTGCTGTAGCTGATCGAGCTCGCCCTGGAGCCTCGCTTGCGCTTCCAGGAGGGCGGTCTGCTGCGCTTGCAGCGGGGGAATGGCGGAGGCATTGGAAGCGATGGTCTGGTTGATTTGGGAGACGAGGGCTTGGGAGATGGCGCGGAGGAGGGAGTCCTTTTCGGGGTTGGGTGGGATTGGAGGGGCGGGCGTATTATCCGGCTGCTCACCCTTTTGCGAGGGCAATGTAACGTCCAAAGGGGATGAAAGAAGATCAACTGAGGGCTTTAGTTGGGGTGCGATTTGAGGAGGCGGTTGCGCCCATTGCATCCCAGGCTGGGGAGCAGTCGTATATTGTGGTACTCCGTGAGGAGGCAGAGGAGCGATGGGAGGATGTTGCTGCCTAGCTGCGGGTGGAATACGACCAGGGTAGTGGTCACCTGGTGATAGTGGACTTATTGGGCTGGATAGATCAGTGGGTGCAGGACCGTATGCCGGGCGAGGCGGCTGTCCTGGATGAGGTACCGGACGCCCACCCATAGATTTCTGGGCGGTATACGGAGCCGCATTCGTACGATTGAAATGTTGAGGCTGGGCACCTGAGATACGGGCATCGTGAGGTAACGGAGGCAGAGGGGGTGGAGGACCGTATCGTGAAGATCTTGGTGGGGGTTCTTGGATCGTTTCACCAGGTTTGGGAGGCTTCGGTGGAGGTTGCGGCGGTGTGGATATAGATCCCTGGGGTCCGGCACCTGCAGTAGTCACGGGGCTCTGGCGCAATTCCGCCGGAGGAGGCGGTACTGGAGGAGGGGGAGGATTTGAGGATGCTACAGGCGGGTATTGTTGCTGCTGTCTTGAAATGACAGGGGGTTCTTTTGCGAAAACACCGCGTAGTATGCCCAAGAAATCCATTAGGCTTGACCTCTGTAAGAAGTTAGCTTGAATCCGGTTTCGGGACTATGATATTGGTGACTAGAACGAAGTCCTAGTCTTTCATATTTAAATCGGAAGGCTTACCTCCCAATATTGTGCCCATTGAGCGAGGTACGGGTGGTAGATTCTCCCATCAACATCAACATGTTGTCCTCGCCTCACCGCCATATCGCCTGTTGGAGTAACATATGCGAACGGTGGCTCCCGAGGATAGGCGTAAGGCACCCATAACGCGACAGGAAACCTATACGTCGTCCCGCGGAAGAGAACCGGTAAGGTCCCGCTCACGAGGAGCAACACGGATGAAGAGCCATCTTCGAAAGCTGGGCGAGCATGTGAGTCTTAGAGCTCATACCATAGACTTTGGAAGGGACATCTTACTGTAGATTTCTGTCCGCGGAGTCAGGGAGGGATAGTGCGACAAGGTCTCCGCAACGTCGGAGTATGTTCGATTGGCATCATGATATTTCTTGTAGAGATTAGCACGATGACCACACATACTGGTTAAAGCGTTTATCTTACACTCAGCAACACACTGTACAGCCAGTTTAGGACTTTATCCGGTACGGCAGACATACTCCGTTGCGTGATTGGCCTTATCTACCTAGATGGGAGGCCTGGCGATGGAAGAATTTGACGAGGTGCTTCATTTGGAGCGTCCAATGTTATTCAATTCTCGGCGGCGCGTTATGAAGTACCATTCAAGAGCCTCCATCAATCACTCATGAATTGTGGCGACCGCATATACGGACAAGTGAACGGATGGGAGTCAACGACGTGCGAAGCCGGGATTCCACAACGGGAAGCGAAATGAAGCACCGCCAAAGGCCAGCGAATGGAAATCGTAACCAAAATCTGTCCGCAACAGGCTTCTCGCTATTCAGTGAAACTGATTGTCAATTCGTTAACAAGAAGCAGGCACTATTGTATTCGTTGGTCCGGAGATGCAGACAACACGAGCGACAGAATGGCAAAGACGTCAATCAAGGCCAAGTTTTGTTGCCTCAGGCCTCAACCCTATTCGCCGTCCAGATCGTGCCTTGCTTCTCCAAGTGACCGACAACGCCCTCAGAAATAATTTAATTCTAGGGGGGTATAGGGATTATCTATGGCTATGAGATGCGAGTGCAGGGCTTTTGTATGTTGATGGCGAGGGGATGATTCATTGCAGAACTATTTGGCATGCTCGGGCCGGTCAAGGCGCTTACATATAATGCCCTCAGCACCAGACTTTCAGATATTCGAATCAGTCCAGGTTCCATAAACGGCGTTCTTGCGTTGTACGGCCTTCAGGTTAATTTAATACCTGAAATGCTATTCTAAGAGCAATATGGACACACAATTCGGGCATCCTCCAACCTCTACTGGAGCAATCCTATCCAAAACCCTGGCTAGTAGACACCAAGGACTTGATCCAAGACTTTGACCAAGGCAGCCATCTCGTCCACTATCATCGATTTAGCTGATGACCCTTCTGGCCTGCTTCGATGTACTCACCTGTGTTGTAATGGACAGCACTGACCCGAACAACACCCTCTGGTCCAGCATCAAGCATCTGCTCGACCAGCCGTTTAGAATAGAAATGACCCCAACGGAACCCGAAGCCAGAAATCGCCTCAACTGACTCCACAATTTCCTTCGAACTTCTTCCTTTGACGATGAAGCTGATCGTGGGAAAGCGTATAGATGGGTCTGGCATCGTCTCACCGTAGATAGTGACACCTTCTTTGCTGGACAGGTAGTCAAGCAGAACACTTTGAAGCTTCCTTTCATGCTCCGCGATGCCATCGTACAGAGTCTGCCAGGAGTCACCTCCAAGATACTCCACTATGTGAGGGATGGATTGCGTAAGCTCGTAATTCGATGCAGCCAGCCCGAGCTTGTACTCCAGGGTGTCTGTCGGATCGAAGAAATGTCCCAGGGACAGCAGGTCCTTCTGAGCTTCCCTGCTTGCATATAGCATCCCAATGTGCGGTCCGTAGACCTGAAATAATCAGCTTCCATTTGCCAAAAAGGGGCAGTCTCCTACCTTATACCACGAGAAGCAATAGAAGTCCACCCCAAGGTCTCGGACATCAATACGCCTATGAGGCAGAAACGCGACACCATCGACACACAATCTTGCGCCTTGAACAGTATGAACCTTCTCGGCAATCGCTTTTATATCATGGATGGTTCCGAGAACGTTACTAGAGTGAGTACAGGAGACCAGTCTGGTCTTTGGAGTCAATAGAGCATCGAGTTGCTCCGCTTCGAGTTTTGGATTGGTGGAATTTGGGGGAGCCCACCACTTCAAAGTCAACTTCAAGCGGTCTGCAATCGAAATCCACGATGAAATATTGGCTTCGTGGTCGACCTTGGAGACGATCAACTCATCCCCGCTCTTGAACTCGAGTGCCTCCGACAGGTTCCGGAGCAGCTGAGTTGTCGATCCGCCAATTACTAGTTGGCATAAGCTGTTTGTTAATCTCATCTGACATCTGAATTTCGGTTACCGATCTCGTCAACATCGGCGTTGATGAAAGATGCCGCAGCACGATATCCATCCGTATACCGCTTGGTCGATTCCTGCCCGATGGCATACGTCGATCCCATCTGGACATTCGAACTCGACAGGTATTTGGAGATTCTGTCTATGTTACTCTGATCCTCTTTACCATACGAGAGACGTCATACGAGTCTATGACCTCCCTAAGTACTTGACTTCCCCCAGCATTGTCCAGATAAGTCTGGCTGGCGCTAAGAGCGGGGAAGTGGCTACGAACTTCGTCTATGTCGAAGGTTTGCACCATTTTGGAGATCGTCGGTCCTGAATGATGATGAGATGTATGTGTATCAATAGATCTAATTTCAGATGAATTTGAAGCATTAAATTTCTTTTTTGATCGGGATAGAAGCGATAGATCTTACTATCACGTCACGGTGGTCGATGTTTCCTGTCAGAGATCCGTGGCTATCCGCGCCCCTGGTTCGTCAGCTGAAGCTTACCTCATCCACACTGTGGACGGCGGCTCACTGGACGCTATATCCCTAATCTAGCGCCAACCTTCTAAACGATAATGCGGTCTAAACGATAACTTAATACATACTCCGCGCTATGAAGTTTGTAGATACCAAATTTCCACCACCAGCACTACTATTCATCTCCAAATCGACATCGCCACGTAGGATCATGC